TTGGCAGCCTGAGCAAACAGATGCGAGTGTGGCTGTGTTGTGATACGTGGCATGGAGGGGTTAGAGTAAAGTGGGGTGAAGGGGGTGAGCCGGAGGTCATTGTCTTGCTCGTGATAATGATGATGATCAGGGGTCGGAAACCAAAATAAAAAGAGCAGTTGTTTTTCGAACCGCAATGCTCGTGGTGAATACGAGAAGGTGGTCCTTGATGAATCACCGTCACGAAGCAGCCCTTAAAGAGCCGCGCGTGGCTCCAGAGACGCAGGCTGACGACCCTTGATGATGATAATTGTGGTCGTCGCCATCGTGATGATGATCATTTGTTGACAACATTGTCATCATCATCTTGGTCATTATCTGCGTCACTTGCCCACGAGATCACGATCAACATCACTGTCAACCATAATTGTACACTGCTGGATGAATAGATCGTCATCTTGTAAATTCCACAATGTGAAGATTTTGAGTTGTAACCTTTATTTTACCACTTGAACAAAAAACACAAAATGTAATATTTCACAGTGACATAATTTGCACGATCAATGCACGATATCTGTCAATAACGAGTAGTTATAATAGACAATATTACAATAATAATCACGAAATACATACACACTTTGTCAATCGACTGCTGGATCATCTCCCAAAACCCCGTGTCGGTCATGGGGACTGCTTGAACATACTTCACCACGCCGGTCAATGAGGATGATGTACACGTTGGAGGAAGAAGAGGCCAGCACCACGCAGGGAAAGTCCTGTTAGGTGCCACTCGCCAACATCATTTAGCCGCAACAGTCTGTGAAGGCGACACAGCCACCACGTGGGTAAGTGTTAGTCAATATTCTTGGTGGCGGTATGGGAGGCGATGGGTATGTATGTAATGGGGGGGTGGGGGCGGGGGGGTTGATGGGTGTGTATGTAATGGGGGGTGGGGGGCGGGGGGGTTGATGGGTGTGTATGAATGGGGGGTGGGGGGGGGGGTTGATGGGTGATTATGTGAAGGAGGGAGGGGGTGGGTGCGAAGGGGGGGGGGGGGTTGCGAGGACCGGTTCGGATATCACTTGCAACTGATGTGGAGGCGTGGCAGGGATTCGAATGCAGGTGGATGGGTTTATAGTACAGTAGTGGCGCTAACCCCTGCACCACCGCTCCCCCTCCCCCCGGCTCTTCTGTAAAAGTGTGAGCATTATATTTCATATCGTTCATAATTCGATACGTAATGCCAAATAATCCTCACATTTCCACACCGTGGAATATTTGGCTCTATCTCTGAGTGGCCTTCTATTTAGACACGTCTAGACGCAAACAACACGCACTTTTATGTATATATCAACCAAAACAAACCCATACAATTGGAACCTCATTTGCCAGTAAAAAATATAATAATTGTTTTTTTACCCTTTTATCTGGCAACAAAACTGACACCTTTTTTTACAAGGAGTCATGTTTGCATAGACCACAATACCTGCAGTCATAATGCAAACAAAAAACATAACTCTGATAATGTACGCACATTGAAGTTGATTAGTGCACACCCGAGACAGCTTTCCTTAGAGCCCAGTCTCACATGGTGTTGGACCAGATGACGCCAAAAGGCGCACAACTCAAAGACTTCAAGCACAGTGCATACATTATCAGAGTTATGTTTTTGTTTGCATTATGACTGCAGGTATTGTGGTCTATGCAAACATGACTCCTTGTAAAAAAAAAGTGCCAGTTTTGTTGCCAGATAAAATGGTAAAAGACCAATTATCAAACCCAGACAATTAAACCAAAAACAAAATAATACCGTGTAATTCTCAATCCATCATTTATCCACTGCTGGATGAAGGCCTCGCTCCCTTCTCTCGTGGTCATTGCGATGTGATGATCGATCAAACAGCACCACACCGCGAAACGAGCCGATTGCAATCTTACTGGTAGGAACCTCCTGGTTACACCAGCCCACAGGGGATTATTGTGTCCGTCCGTCCGTCGTGCAGGGAGGGGCTGGGTGGGGAGGGTGGGGCTGGGTGGGGAGGGGTGGGGAGGAGAGGGGCTGGGAGGGTGGGGCTGGGTGGGGAGGGGCTGGTCATCCCGTGGTGCCCTTATAAAGCTCAACGTTTAACCGACTCAAGCCGGCTTTTGCCCGCCCTCACAGTCGGGCATATTTGCGGAATACCCCACGCCGCCGTTGACCCTGGCCATTGACCGAGCAACCCGACGTTCCTACCAGCTCCCTCCGCAGGAATGTGTTTTAATCTCCGCTGTGAATGTCCTCTCGGGCATTATTTCATCCTTCGTCATTATCGAATAAATAATCGTCACGATCATAATCATCATCCAATAAATCGTCTTCATCATAATCATTATAATCAAAATCAGCATAATAATTTAATAAAGACTCATCACCACCAACAGCATCAGCTAATAATTAACACTATCATCATGTTCAAAATCATTATCATCATTTAATAATCATGATCAAAACCATCATTATAATATAATTATTACAATTTAAATCATCATGATCATCCTATCTGTCATATTATATTACAACGTTTTGCTGGCTGGCTGGAGGGAGGGGCGAACGGACGGTCACATCCAAAGGACGCGCGCGTTGCCAGCCATCATTTAAAACTTGTATCATCACCCCGCCGCCTCCTCCTCCTCCTCACCACTGAATAAAATCAGTCACCGCGTGGTGGCGTAGAGAGGAAATCTGCGTCAATGTTCAACTCCATGCGTCTGCTGCCACCTCCTGATGGCACTGACGATGCCGCTTCGCGCGTCCGTAAGTGGACACACAAGGGGCCAAGGCAGTGCTGAAGGTGATAGTGTGGACAGATCGATGATGATCATGGTGATGATGCCACCTCTTGATTTATGGAATCTTTTTTGATGATGATCATGGAGGAGGGAGGGGGGGAAAGGAGGGAGGGGGGGAAGGAGGGAGGGGGGGAAAGGAGGGAGGGGGGGAAGGAGGGAGGGGGGAAAAAGGAGGGAGGGGGGGAAAGGAGGGAGGGGGGGAAAGGAGGGAGGGGGGAAAGGAGGGAGGGGGGGAAAGGAGGGAGGGGGGGGGAAAGGAGGGAGGGGGGGAAAGGAGGGAGGGGGGGAAAGGAGGGAGGGGGGGGAAAGGAGGGAGGGGGGGGAAAGGAGGGAGGGGGGGGGAAAGGAGGGAGGGGGGGGGGAAAGGAGGGAGGGGGGGGGGAAAGGAGGGAGGGGGGGAAAGGAGGGAGGGGGGGAAAGGAGGGAGGGGGGGAAAGGAGGGAGGGGGGGAAAGGAGGGAGGGGGGAAAGGAGGGAGGGGGGAAAGGAGGGAGGGGGGAAAGGAGGGAGGGGGGAAAAGGAGGGAGGGGGGGAAAGGAGGGAGGGGGGGAAAGGAGGGAGGGGGGGGAAGGAGGGAGGGGGGAAAAAGGAGGGAGGGGGGGAAAGGAGGGAGGGGGGAAAAAGGAGGGAGGGGGGGAAAGGAGGGAGGGGGGGAAAGGAGGGAGGGGGGGAAAGGAGGGAGGGGGGGAAAGGAGGGAGGGGGGGAAAGGAGGGAGGGGGGGAAAGGAGGGAGGGGGGGAGGGAGGGAGGGGGAGGGAGTGGGGGGGAAGGAGGGAGGGGGAGGAAGGAGGGAGGGGGGAAAGGAGGGAGGGGGGAAAGGAGGGAGGGGGACGGGGAGGAAAGGAGGGGAGGGGCGAGGGGGTAGGAGGGAGGAGGGGGAAGGAGGGAGGGGGTGGGAGGGGTGAGGAGAGAGGAGGAGGGAGGAGGAGGGAGGGAGTAGGAGGGAGAAGGTAGGAGGGGGCTTCATCGTTACCTGCGTGATGATTATAATCCAACACGTCTGCGCCAATTAACGGACGCGGGTGAATTCCTCCACTCACCGGCGCTCAGCCACTCGCCCTGCGGTGCCTGTCAGGCAATCACCACGGCCACGTGCTCCTTAATTAAATTGCCTTCACAGCTTCAACAAGGGGCGAGAGAGCGCCACTTGCACAATGCTTCGCCTGCTCACTCAGAAACTCTTTACGAGTCTCTATTCACGAACGGGAAAGAAACTCCGCGTTCGCGTTAGCGTCTTGATTTGCATGAAAAGAGTTGTTTTCATTTTCCGTTTTCAGGTAGCGTTGACTTAGAAGACATTAAGCACCTACTATATATAAGGCCAAGCAAGCAGTGTTATTATTGATGAATGTGTTGACTTTGTTGTTGTTGTTAATTGTGCTTGTGCACCACAAACCAACGCAGCAGAAGCATCGCCCCAATTATTAGTTAAATCGCGGAATGTTATTTATATATTAATACAATAACCTATTTTCCAGGTACAAAATAATACATCGTTATTGTGTCGAAAATAAGTGATGTCATGTATTTATCCTAAAAACATACTTTCATCTTGTTCATTTGTTTACAATATTAATAACTCGAGCTTCAACTTTGGAGTTTTACATCGTGACCACAGGGACCGTATCCCTAATATCAATAACAACGCAAATATTAAGATTTAAATTATATCCGGAATGCTGAATCCTGATTTTTAAAACATTCCTGAATATCTGGCGACATTACGGGGCATGCAATGATGCATCGTCGATTAAAATGAACGTGCAATTAATTAACATAATGAAAACTGCATACAGCATTAGCGTATGCTAGAAAACACGATACAAAACGATACGAAGAAGAAGTAGAACAACAACAAAAGCGATACCAATGAGACGGTCAAAATTGAGACAATGCAATCCAAGTAATTTAATCGATTCTTCAATACGATTGAGCGATGTGAATCGTGACTAATTCGTGTGCGAATGGATCCTTCGGCTGTGCGTCCAGACACACAACAACCCAGTTCCCCGGCCCTACCGAGATCGATCCCACGCGTCCGACTGTCCGCCCGATATCTACCCTCACCGCCGTCATCCAGCAGTGGATTGACACAAAAAACACAAAAGGGAGCTGGAAACGAATCGCTAGTATTGTCTACGATTCGTGCGTATAATATCCGTGTCATTGTCGATTGTTTAGACGGCGCGCACAATGCGCCCTGTGGCACCGCCGCTGCTGCTGCTGCTGCGTCTTCTTCTTCCTGTGGCGTCTCTGCTGTGCGCGCACGCCCGCGCCGCGGACTCTGCGCCCTTACCGGGGAATCGAACCCGGCTACCCGCAGCGACGGGGAGACCGCCCCCAGCGTCTGGGTGCGCGGACGACCTCGCAGGCTCTTCGCCGCGTCTCCACGGCCTCCTCCGACTCGCGTGCGACCCCGACTCGGCGTGGAAATCCGCGATCGCCGTGTCCTCCGGCGTCGGAGTTGTCTTCTCGGCCGCGCTGCTCTGCGTGCAAACCAGCGCCGCTCTGTGCGGCTCCGAAGCCGCTCGGAGCTGCAGCCGGAGCCGTCGTCCCTTGCTCGCGCTCCAAGCGCTGTGCGCTCTCGCCACCGTGGCTCTCTTCTCGCTCAGCATCGCCTCTTTGGCTCCCGCCGCGCGGCCGCTCTGCATCGCGAGGCGCTTCTTGCTCGGCTTGCTGTGCGCCCTGAGCGTCGGCTGCCTGCTCGCGCACGCGTGCGCTCTGCTGAGGCTGGCCGCGTCGCGTGGAACGCCGTCGCTCGACGCCGGAGGCCAACACCGCAGCAATCGCCGCAATGACATTCTTCACCACCACCACCACCACCCCAGTCGTCGTCGTCCATGCGGGACCGCGCGTCTCTGCGGAATAGCTTTGGCATTGGCCGCCGTGCAAGCTGCGCTGGGTACGCAGTGGGTGGTGTTGATGACCACGCCGACGACGCCGACGATGACGGGCGACCCCTGCGTGCACACGAATCGCTGGGACGTCGCCCTTCCTCTCTTCTACCCGCTCGCCCTCCTGATGGCCGCAGACGTCGCCTCTCTGTTGGCGCTGTGGCGCGTGGCGCGCGCCGCTCCTCGCCTGCCGCGCTGGTGCTTCACGCACGCGCGCCTCCTGTTCGCCACGGCGGCGCTGTCCAGCGGCATGTGGCTCGCGTGGATCGCGCTCTACGAGAGGAGGGGAGCCACCGTGGGAGCCACCGGGGGAGCCGGGGCCACAGGGGCCGCCGGGGTCGCGACGCGCCGCGCAGAGCGATGGGGCCGCGCCGCCACCGCCGCAGCGCCCGCGTGCCAGGCGGCGGCTCTGCTCGTGCTCTACCTGTGGCCAAGTACCCTGGCCTTGCTGTCCAGCAGGAGGAAGGGGATAGGCTCGGTGGTCGGGGATGATGGTGGTGGTGCTTCTGGTGGTGGTGATGATGATGATGGGGTCCGGTCTAGGGGAGGGAATCCAGGAGGAGTGCCGCTACCGCCTCCACCACCACCACCGCCGCCGCCGCCTCCTCCGACGCCGATGGGAACTCAGCTTGTCCGCGGCTCCAGCCAGTGTCCAGGTGAGACGGGGGGGCTCGCTTCGTGCGGTGTGGCTCACCACGCGGGGGGAGCAATCGTAACTTTACCCGGTGAGGTGTGACTTAGCTGGTGGGGATCGGAATCAAACTGGGAAGAGAGATTTTGTTTTTACTCCCAGGTGTGATCTGACTCGCCCGGTGAAACTGTGGCTCGCTTTGGTGAGGTCACCGGGTGAGGACTCGACTCTCAACCTGGTGAGTTGTCTAACACGCAATTAATGTACCGATAAAAATCTAAAATCATTCATTAATTATTGCATTGACGTATTAATTGCCTCCCAGGTAAACCTCGGCCTAACGCGTATATTCGATCCTAACGCGGTGCACGCGGTGAGCTGGACGATGTCTTCATCAATGAAAGCATCAGAGTCGATCGAGGCGGCATAGATGTTTTGTTTTCAGGGAGCGTCGCCTCTGTCTCTGCACCGCCCTCCCCACTAACAACAACGGCAGATTCCTAAGCAGCGGTAGCCATAGCTGTCAAACCCACTATCAGTGCCCTATCTTATAACAGACCAATTCAAACCTTATTGATCACCCCGTGCCCTTCTAATTCTCAACGTTCATCCTACAAAGTCCCATCACAAGGGAGAAACGCAAATAGTCAATCACCACGAGTACACTCATCACTAGTACACTCAGCAACTACATACCTGGAAGTCCTTCATCAGTGCCCCCTACCTTATTACAGACCAATTCAGACCTTATTGATCACCCCGTGCCCTTAAAAACCTCAACGTCTATCCGACAAAGTCCCATCACAAGGAAGAACACACAAAAGATAACCATTCGTTTTACTCAATTTCCCTGTACAAGAATACGGGTACACCGTATGGGTTGATGACTGGTACGGGTAGCAGCAGCAGCAACACCAGCAGCCAAAATATCAGTCGCATCTTCATCCGTTTCAACGGCTGTATCATCAACAGCAGCAGCGTCACGGATTTATCCTTTTACATATTAGTGCAATAGTCACCCTACAGTTGATTTATGCTCGTGGAACGTAATTGCAATTCACGTGTTTTTTTAATGATCGGTCTAGAAGTAATTCTGATAATTTTAGACATCATGACGCAGCAAGGAATTAATCGTTTAACATCGAGTTCTATCTTCGTGTAACAATTTCGAGTATTCGCGTGGCACGGTTGTTTTTTTTTGCATTTATTGTTTACTTTCTGTGCTGTAGTTTGTTTAAACTTTAGTCATTTTGGTGACCAGAGGGTCACCCTTGGCAAATGAGACTCATTCCGGTCTCTTGTTGTATATCCCCTGGCTAAACACATTGAATTAGACACGCAAATAACAGCAATGAAATCGTTCCAACAGCGATCATTCTAACAGCAGAGTCGACGGTAATAGCAGCAGTGCAGTCTGACTCAACAGCAGGAGAATGTCACATTCAATAAACAGCAGCGGTTTCAATTAAAGTCACAGCAGCAGCTGTAACATCCTCAGAGTCCCCGCGTCTCTCTCTCTCTCTGCTTCCTCTCTCATGCAGCCAGCTATGGCTACAGGGTTTGGTGGTACATGTTGTTTGTCGCTTATTGTGAAATTTCGGTCACAGTTCCTATGATTTACTGTTACATTGCTTATGGCTTTATTTTGGTGATTTCGAAAGTTTTTTGGTTTGGCCATGTTTGTTTGTTGTAGTACGGAGTTAGACTGATGGCTTTAATCTAAGTTGTGTTGTGATGTTGTTTGACTTGCATCCCACTGGGATTTTTGCACACAGCGTTGGTGTACGGTGCTTTTTCTGGAAGACTTTGCAGTTTTTTCCCTGGATTTTTCTGTTTGCGCATAGTCACTTTAAGCTGTTTTCTTGTTCATGTTTTCTGTTTGTTGCGGTTGCACCCGATTCAAGAGCCGAATGGCTCACAGGGCTATACCAAATAAATGAAACTGAAACTCTCCCGCAGGCCTCGTTCCCAGCACCGCGGCAGGTGTTGGCGGTCAGCTGCAGCAGACCTTCGCCCGGGGGCGAACCCACGTGTGTGGAGTCGAGGTCCGGACCAGGGACAATGCTGTGAACAGCTTCATCCCGGTATGGATTCGCACGATACTCGGCCGTATCAGCAAAGGGTTTCTGTCTTGCATTGCGGTGCTTAACAATCCGAAACACTCTTCTGGGAATTCAGGAATTATATATGGGACGCCACATCCATTGTCCAGATAATTGTCATCATCCTATTTCTAGCATAATAGGAATACGTATAGTGTACACAAATGTACGATTACCGTCGTACCCTGTACTCGCGTGACGGTGCCTTGCGACTATAATCCCTGCTCCAAGTCAAGCCCGCTTGACAGCGTTCCAGTAAATGTGGATGAGAAATGCATCCCTGCTTACATAACTACCACGGCTTCATTTCAGCCGGGTCGGTGATGAAGCAAATGCTGGCACTCGGCATACCACATCCACTGCACCTCTCGCTATGGCTCTACCAGCGATGTGCATTGAGAAATTATATATATACGATATATACAATGCCAAAATCATATCACAACATGCAATACGTATATACACAAGCTTCTTAGTCAATCCACTGCTGGTTCAGGGCCTCTCCACGCCGAGCGGGTCATGGTACAGTTATTTGACCATACCTCACCACGCTGGTCGGTGCAAATTGGCGAAAGTTGGAGTCGTAGACGTGGGGAGCGTAGACGGAGTACGACGCATGAATGGGTTTATTTTGCCGTCGGTTTAGTCGAAGGGGAATGAAACGCAGAACAGAACCCAGGATCTCGGCGATGCCGACCTGGCGCTGTCCCTTGAGCCCCCCGGTCGCTTCCCAAAACACGTTTTAACCTCCCGTTGCATACCAGTCTGATTGGCGCCTATGCATTGTCGTGTGAATGCATTCGAACTCTGTTCGTCTGCACGTGTGTGTATAGTCAAATCCCATAACAAAATAGGCTCCCCGAGTATTTTTTCCAGCTTGTTTTTTTATATGAACTGCTACACAAAATCAACAATTTTGTGTCGAAACTTGCTGGTAGGAAGGGAGCTCGTTTGGCAGACTTTGCCAGGATGGGGGGGTGGGGGGGTGCGAGGAGGAGGCCCTCGGCGCGAGCGCCAGAGGAGGGCTACTGCCGCACGCTGCGTCGGTGCACGCTTCCACAGTGGATCTGCTGCTTTTGCCGCCGCCTCTGCTGTTGTTGCAGACACCATCTGCCCATCTTCCCAGCCCAGGCGACCTGACCTCGGTTTGGCTGGAGGCTCCGGGCGTCGCCAGAATTTGAGGGCCCCCCACCACTGTTCGAATTGGCCGCGCGGCTATGTTTTGTGTGTACGCGTGTTACGTGTGTGGTACTGGACACGCCACCCCCGCAAGTGCCGTGCCAGTCCTAATGGGTGCTCGCTAACGACACTTGCACTGACCAGGTTGTTAAAGGCAATACGAACGTGTACACTAATACATAGATTCGCACATTGGTGAGGTGGGTGCTTGAGAAGACAACATTTAACGAATATCACAAAGAAGTTGGTAATTATATAAGGTTGCTAAAAGGTTCATCACGACAATCTGCCATGAGTTAAGCTTGCTACTCATTGTCTCTGCCCCCAGTTCTGGGAACACACTGTTCACTTGTTAATGATGTTCACTTTACTCGTACGGCCAGATGTACTTCTCTCTGGGACGGCAAATATACGTAACAAAAAGGGGACATTCGCCTTCACACGCTCATTCTTTGCACCAAGGGCCACAGTGTAGGCAGTTTGGTGTTGTACGTCAGAGTGCTTCCCTGCCGATCAACTAAACTTACCCGCTGCGAGGTGCATGACCCTGCGCGCGTCAACGGCTAGATGCTGTGGACATCTCATTGGACTGCGGGGGGCCGAGACGAGAGCTGGACTTCCCACCAAACTGGACATGCAACGTGCACCCTTTGCTTGCCCATAATGGTATAACGTCCGTCCGGCCAGTAGCAGTTGCACACCGATCGATATTGTGCCAGGCAATGTTCACCCTTGCATCGTCATGCTATATTAAAACCAATAAAATGTGCTGAAAGCAAAGTCCATTATAGTCTTAATTAGTAGCAGATTTTTATTTTTTTTAAATACACTTCAGTTTATTGCCGCATCGCGGTATAAGCAATTGCTCATTATTTTCACAGGAAAACCTCACCTGAGTCTCGAGACTTCTACGTGTATTATTACATCGCGGGGCGGCGGCGTTAGAATAAGCAAGCATCAATTTGCACGGCCGTCCGCGTGTTTGCACAGTCAAATCCCGTAACAAAAGAGAGGCTTCGTTAATGGCCTGGCTTTATCGGCTCGTGTTTTTAGCTGCAGCTGTGGCTGCTGCGGCTCTTGCTCCACGCCTGACACAGTATTATGCCCCCATGTGTTTAGTAAAACGCATCAGAAAGGATATTCACAGAGGAGATGGAGCGATTTATTTTAAATAAGCTCATGTGCAGGTGCTCGGTGGATTACTACATTGCAAAATTAGGAGAGATGATCGGCTTCATGGAGAGCCCTCAAACCAGCGGCGGAGAGACCATGGGCGATGACGAAGATGATGACGAGCCGGCTGGCCACAGCGGCAACGGGTGTGCTGAGCATCACAGCAAGGGGGTGTTGAGCGGCGATGGGCTGATGACGTTGATGGAGACTCCGGCGTCGAGTTCACTCGGGGTTTGAGCACCTTCTGCCACCATCGTTCCCAATAAAACAAGAGAAGCGCAGGATGAGAAGCAAGAGGAGGTTGTGTTGCCGTACCCGGGCACACACGTGAGTTCATGGGTAAGAGTTGAAATTGGCACTTCGGAGGTAAAAATATTTGTTACTGATTTATTAATGAGAAACAATAGAGTAGTGTGAATTAAAGGACGGATTTGTAAGTGTCGCCGTTGTATATATTAATGACGTTATATCGTTACTATTACACGGATAATTGTACGGTAATGCGATTATAAGAACAATGCGGGCACATTAGACGCGGTGATGAAATTTCCCTCTGTATTGCATGAGCTTTGTGTAAAAACGTTTACAAATTATAACGCCAATGATACTGGAGAATAAACTTTATCCCCATGAAGTAATTACAATAATGTTGAAATGACCACATGTTATTAAATGTGTCCTTTTACACTTACGATTTCAACATATGCCTGGCTGGGATGAAGCTTTCTCGTTCACGGCCCTGAAGTTAACCCGAGCAAAAGGCGCCACTGACTGCACATCTCTCTTCCGCACTGACCTCGTAACGTCGCAAATGTTTCCGAGAGCGGCGCCAGCTATAAGCGTGTGCAGCTCCCTTCCCAAAGAGGAGCCAAGTGGCCCGCTTGTTTCGAGCTTCGCCCGGCACCGTGGGAAGGTCCGGGCCAAAGCCGCTTGCCCATTGCCAAGAACCGGATAAGTGATCATGAGAAAGTGACACGATGTCCTGAGACCAATTATTTCGGTGGTGATGCTGCGCAGGCCAGCACCAACATAACAAAACCCAACGCACCCGTCGACAACACTGCCCCGAAATGAAAAACCATGCAACAGGTGACGAAATCCTCCTTTGCCCTTCTTCATGGCCCTTCTCCATTGCCCATAGTTGATGTGCTATGAAGGACATTGGATGATGTGCAATGAAAAAAGGCAATTTCCCAAGGCTGTTACCTGTTGATTGTTTTTTTTGACGCAGTGTTGTTGCTGATGGCTGTGTTGGGCATTTTTCTGTTTGAGACGGGTTGATTTTCAGAAGAGAAGAACGAAGGTCGTGGCTGGTCGTTGTGGTGGGGTGGTTGGGGCAGTGGGGGGGGAGGGATATGATGACGCACATCGGTCGTACCCGCTGGGCTCGCGGCTGGCCCAGAAGTCGGCCACCCTGAGACGAGAGCTGCACTTCCCACCAAACTGGACATGCAACGTGCACCCCTTGCTTTCCCGCAATATTTGAACGTTCTGTCTGGCCAGGAGTAGTTCCAAACCGATCGATGTGTTGCCAGGCGATGGCCCTCCTTCATAGCACAAACTATGGGCAATGATCGGCAGGGATGGATTGTAACGCACAACACCAAACCGCCCACACTATGGCCCTTGGTGAAGAGAATGAGCGTGTGAAGGCGAATGTCCATTTTTCTTTGTCTGACATGATGCACACCGGCCGTACCGCTGGGCTCGCGGCTGGCCCAGAAGTCGGCCACCCTGAGGCGGATGTCGCGGCTCTCCTCGCGGAGCTCCCGCTGCCACTGTCTCAGCTCCTGCACCTCGGGCTCGCGACGAACCTCGCAATTGACCGCAGCAGTGGAGAATCGGACGTTATTATCAAAAACGAGGGGTGGCAAAACTCCCTGACAATGCAAAGCAGCGGAGCAAAATGGTATCTTCATGACCGAGAGCAATAGGACACGTATGGGCATGTGGGGTCGTCACAACGGGTGGTCACCCGGCTAGTTCGCTCGCACTCGCTGACTGTGGAGTTCTGAATTTAGAATTCTGTGGCAGCGCCCTGGGAGTACCTGTGGCTAGATTCACGATCAGAATGAGTACCCCGGGCCGCACCTCTCCATGCTTGTGCGTCTTTCGGCTAATGTTCTGTTTCCTCTGTCAAGTGTCCGCATGTTTCCAGTCCATGTGTCTACGTGGGTAATATGCACAAATCTAGGAAGTTGGCAAGTATCAGAATATAAACTAACTCTATAAGCAATATATTGAAATTCCTCGAAGGATTTGTTTTTTATGTATGTCGCATTTAAACGGTTAAGCAACTTGCACAGTACTATAGAGGCTATTGAAAGTGGTTGGCAAGATAAGCAAACCGAGAAAGCATTAACCCGAAACTAGAATACAAAAATGCATCCCTTTATAAAGCCACGGGGTAATGTATTGGTGGAAAAGGAATGGGAAGCTCACCAGATAGCCCCTGTAAAAGGCTTGTATGATGATGGCAGCTTGCTCCTCTGTGAGCAGCAGGGATAGTGGCAGTGGCGGCCTCGGACTAGCGAGCCAACACAAAACAGGGGGGGGGGGCAACATTTTGTACCCGATGTCATCGTTTATACAGATAGGAACAACAGTTCCACACTGCCCACCAGGGATTATTTGTCTGTCGTACATAGCCCCTCCCAAACATGTACGCTCCTGGATTTGTTGGAAGTGTGTCACGTGACTGCGAGCTTTGTCATGCACGAATGCGCTGTCCAACCAAGTTCCTACCCACTCCGAAGGAACGTTTGTCGCCGCGTGGGCCAGAGTGATGTGCGTGGGAGGAGGTGGGACCCCCCCCACCCCGTACTTACTGATCCCTCAGCCACTCCTTGACGAAGGGAATTTCCAAGACTTCTGTCGGCTGCTCTTGACACCTTGCAGGGTTTTTGCTGCGTGGAGAAAATCACTTGTTTCGACCAAAATTCGCTCGATTATACAGACGTAATGATTTGCATCGTCTGCGACTTCACGAATTGTCGTGATTTGTGTGTGGAAGACCTAAAGCACACAATACTATTTGAACTTGTGATGCAGGTGAAATGTTAGTCACAAAACGAACTTGATTTAAAAGCACTGCACGTTTAGAGTTGCAGAGTGAAAGTACAACAATTTCTCACTTGTATAACCACTCTGCAAGGAAGTCACAAGGGAAGAACTTTGTCTTTTTTCTCTGTAAAACAAAGAATAGTAAATTTATATTAATAAATAACAATATACACTTCTTGATGCCTATCATGGTGGGACAAGCGTCAAATCTGGCGCTTTTGAAGGAAGGGTTGGTGGATGACATTGACTCGTAAAACTCTCAAGCTTGCGATCGATAGGGCTTGTGAGCCCATCTGAGTATCATATCCTCGCCATCACCAAATCTGCGCTGATCGATGTGGTGAAATTGGTCAAATTATCATCGCGACCCACAAGGCGCAGGGGGGCCTTCGTCCAGAAGTGGATTGAAAAAAGGGCAGCATGTATATGTGCACAGTCCTGATAAGAGTGAGCAAAAGGGGGTACAACTATAACGCATGATAGTGGCGGGGGGAGGGGGGTGGCAGCCGACGTTATGTACCGGGCTCCAAATTTCTCCCGACGGGCCTGTGTGTACATGTACGCATTTCAAGTATGCCATTCAACAAAACTCTCGTCTTAGTTAGGTTCCGATAAAACAAAAATCCAAACTTAATGACGACACCGAGGACGACCCTTGCAGTGCCGATGATGCTAGCTGTACCTCAAAGCATCTGTGTAGCCGGGCCTGAGACAGCAACTCTGCGAGACCGGGTAGCAGCACCGGGAAAATAAAGTGTTCCAGGTACTCCCGAGGGTTGCCTGCCCAGACACACACCAACAGTAGACAAGCCCGGGTCAAGTGAATGGGGGACAGGTGGAATAGAATCTTGATTTTAAGCTTTCGTGACTGCAGGAATCCATACTCTTTGGTTCTTTCGGTAAAGTCACGTAGGTATAAAATAGATTTTACCGAAAGAACCAAAGAGTATAGGTGTAATAGAGGTTATTTGTGCATATGGTTTTGTTTTTTTAAGACCGTCAACAGGCCACTTTTTATTAATTATTATCACCCAGATAATATATCATAATCACTTTCCCATGCCTATCATGGTGGTGCACGCCTGCAAGCCAGTGCTTTGGGCACAGGGGATTGGTGGATCGAGTACATTGTGAAACTTCCAAACCTGTCAATGATGCAAAATGGCCTGAAGATGGCAGTAGAGCAAATAAAACATTACAGTATTTGGTTGATATCGCGTTGGCAGTGGTGCACAACCACCAATAAAAACTCAACACATTTACCAATCACAGTGCCTTTTAAACAGGCAAATATATCACAGGCGTGAATTCTTGCAACGGCCCTTCACAGCTCAACTGCAAGTGCTATGAAGGAGGGTCACTGCCAAAAACACACTCGTGCACTGTGAAGGCTCAGTGCCTGAAACGCTGCCTATTATATAATTATCCTTTAAAGTACAGCAAATGTGATCAGGGAGTGAATCGGTTATTTATTATTCGGAATTAACCACAAAATATAGTGTCCATTAGAAGACACTTCGCATGCCCCTATGTTTTTATTAGTTACAAAACAAACTGCTAAGAATGTAACATACAGATTACCAATACACAGATCTGCATAGGTATTGAGCCCAAATTCCCAATGAAATGCTCTTCAAGTGTTTTAATAAATGCATGTGGCCATCCATTTGTATGTGTTTGTGTTTCTCGCTTTACAATTTGTTTGAACTGATAATTTCCCATACAAAATAGATGCTCCTTTTACTAAACTGCCTTGTCAGCTTGTTCCTGCATTAAACCACGTGCAAATATTCCTGTGTACCAGGTGTCACTTTTCATCCTCTGAGAGTAAGCACACCTATTGATTTATTGAAATGTTATTACACTTATAATTTGATCATAGTGCATTAAAATGAGTAATATGCCAAATTCAGCAAAAACAATTCCCCTTTACAAAATGTGTTTTTTTTCAGAGCATGATTTGATCTCAAGAGTGGCCAACACCATATCATGGATTGGTTTGTTGTGGTTGCTCCCTGCAGATACATTGTTGGATGATGGAATTACAATATATTTCAAATTATCATCATTCTATTATTGATTTACTGAACAATATTTATCCATCCTATAAAAAAATAAGATGCTCACTGCTTCTGTACGGCATCTTGAAAATGCAGTTGCATGGAGACCCTGTACAAATCGACATAATTAAATTGTCCCTTCTGGACATTTGTGAAAAAAGAGCTTTACATCTCATCGGATTCCTCCAGTATGAATAAATAATTCTGACTGATATCCAAGCCTGGAAAACCTGAGGCAGAGTTGGTCGATTGCTCGCATTGGAACCGGTAATCGCATGAAGTTCAAAGGGAAAATTTAAATGCAGGGTTTGCAGCACCGTCCAAAAGCGCACATGTTTTAGGGTCTATTGGTGTTGGGGGGCTCCCTGGGAGAGAGGCGGGCGCCTCGGTAGAGCGGTCCGTGTATGGGGTCAAGGGTGAAGAGTCCAAGTCCTGGAGGAACAGAATGCAGAGGCAAATCTTTAGCAAAATGTTGAGCAAATCAGAGTCATTAACCTTAACTTTCAGTGCTGTTACACTGGGAGAGAAGGGTAGATTTTAATGATCGCTTAAACTTCTCACCTAATCTCCACACCAGCCCTTGTTACACGAAAGTACACCATTTCAGAGCAACAAATTTGACAAAACTGTTCATGTAAAACGACATTACAATTATTCACTTCTCCAAAGAGTTGAAAATTTGTCAATTTTACCCATTTTTGAGAATATTAATTAGTTTAACTCAGTTTGACCAAACTGCTTTATAAAAATTCCAGCTAATTAAGGTGGATTACTACTATTTGAAATAATGTAAACTGTTCACCAAAGCCAATTGATATTATTTTTTTCTTCTATATAGCAAACATACACACCTACTCACCCAACCGATGTAAGTTTAAACCCTATCACCGCATAACAAAATTCAAAGCTAATAGTACGGGTTTATATCAATTTTATTTTTTTAAATACAATTTTTGGCTTGAAAATGTGGTGAGTGGATCGTTAAGTATGTCTGTGCTGCTGCTCAAAAGGGGCCAGCACACAGATTCACATTTGGTGGCCATCATTCTATTTTTGCATCTGGCAATATGTTCAAGAGCTAAATGCCCAATATCGAGGTCTGCTAGCCACGAAGGAGTGCAGACAGTGGTTCGCTATATGGCCCAGAGTTTGCGTTGCATGGCCACAACCGCACTCCTGTGGCTTACGTCTTTAATTTTTAATTCATAAAGGGGGATGTGTGCATTCGCCTGTCATGGTCTGATGCAGTTGATGTTTACTGTAGGGTCTTCAAAGCCAGGAGGTTGCGGAGTTTGGGTCTCAAATGAGGCGTTTATTTTGGGTTTCCGCGGTGTTCCATGGGCAAAATGGACGTCATTAATTTGGTGGCCATAATGAAGACGGTAATGATGGCTTAATAGTTACGGCTGACGGGGGCTGCGAAGTGGAAGGGAAAGTTAATGGAGCCACCTGCATGGAGTCACCGGCCAGCCGAGGGCTCCCATTTGTGCTCAAGGCTTCCTTGCTTTCCACAAACTCTGCAGAAAAAGTTCACAGTCAGTATGCGTATTGTAAGCAATCACACAATCGCATTGGATAACGAAAGCTAGTAAGGAACGCAATGGGTCGGAGATGGAGCGATGATGTCAGTACATGTGCTCGGTGGGATTTTACAAAACAGGATCGTAAGAGGTGGTGGCGGCTTGGAGAGGTTATCCTCCAGCAGTGGATTGACCATGGCTGATGATAATGATGAATAGAGGCGACAAGACATTACATTGATAGTTAGCAGGAATAGAAATTTGACTAAATTGGTCACTTTGAGCAATGTTAGTAAAAACAATTCATTCAGGATTTCCCAAATTCCATTTTTCGCGATACACCACGGCAATTATCTTAAAATTTACCAATGCATCTTTGTTTAAATACAAAAAAATCAAGTTGTTATACGCTGCACACGCTTGGTGATAGCGAAACACATTACATGGTCAACACAACAGCTGCTATTTATTTCACATTTCGGCGTTGACATCACCACATCGCTTGTGCCAGGCTAGGTGTCCGATCAACACAAAAAAAACAAATATACCCACCCCAAACTTTAGCAAGCTGTTGGATCAAGTTGCTGTTCGTAAACACCTCTTAAAATCAGAACAACTGACATGAACACACACATACAAAACAAGGCTTTTGCTTTAACTTTGCATTAGAGCTCTCTATGTCACGTGGGACATGTGTAACAACCATCAGGGGCGTACGGGGCGTATCGATGTATACAATGTACACAGAGCAATTGCTATATTAACGGCGAAGTTTGGTAACACGTACTCTTGCGCTGGCTCGCAAAGAAATTCAGTGGCGTCGGAAAGTCTTGAGTGGAACCTGCTGTGTGTGCTCACTGCATACATCTGTCAATCCACTGCTGGATGAAGACCACGTCGGTCGTGCCAGTTCTTTGACCATACTTCACCACGCTCGTCAATGCGGGTTGCTTTAGCCGGGGGTACCCAGGACCAATTCAGGCATCGTATTCTTGGTTCTTTCGGTAAAGTCACGTATAAGGGAAATAATAACATAATAGAAATAAAACATAATAAAATGAAATGTAATTTTTATTCTTCTATTATTTCCATTCTACGTGACTTTACCGAAAGAACCAAGAATATGAATCCCTGCAGTCACGAAAGCTTTAAATCGAAATTTAATTTAGGTGTAGGGGTGTCAGGGGAGGGATTCCCACCAATAGATGGGTTAGTGGGAGGGGTGATCGAGGAGATATAAGGAGAGAACGGGCGGGAAGAAGGGGCCTTTGGCGGGAACGATATTGGGACGGCTGTGGACAGGTGTGGATGGAATGAAAGGAATAAAGGACGAGACCCCTGCAATCTGGTGTCGGCTCCCCCTTTACACAGGCATCGTTCGCCACTGATTGTTAGCGTCCCCTGTCTACCCCATTATGAGTGCCCTACCTTATTATAGACCAATTCAGACCTTATTGGTCACCCCCGTGCCCTTATACATCTCAATGTTCATCCTACAAAGTTCCATCACAAGGCAAAAACACAAACACATGAGATATGTTGTTGTTGTTGTTGTCCGTATTGAAACGGATGTACACCGTATGGACCTACCGACTCAATTTCCCTGTACAGGAATACGGGGTAAACCGTATGGGTTGCCAGGTGTGCTTCGTCTATACACTAAACTACTATACACTACACTACTATACACTATACATTACATTACACTATAAAATGTTCCTGTATTGAAACGACTGTACGCCGTATGGACCCACTCAGTTTCCCTGTACAAGAATACGGGGTAAACATGATGGCTTGCCATGTGTGCGTTAGTCGTGGCCAAGTATCAAACTCGAACTCTGGCAGCAAGGGGCTCGTAACGCACGCGGTGCGCTAACCACTGCGCCACCGCTCCAGAGTGCAACAACACACAGGGTGCTTCAAAACAATGTTAACACTTATATGGAGATATCTTTTTAATGGAAGATAATGGATAATGCACTGTAACGTGATGAAACAAATGCATGTTAATAGCTTCAAAACGTCTGCACTTGTTCGCCATCATTGTCTACACGTGCCTGGAATCTTCTTGTGGTATTGTTGCAAATTCTCAAAAGGGTTAACATTTTTTTTAAGCACCCCTTGTAAACGCGTGGTTAGGCAAGGCATATCGTGCAGCAACACCCCGAGCTGTGGGCGAATAGCAACTCTAACAATTATCACAAAGCGTACAATTATATCGTAGGCGTCAAATGAACAAAGGCGAGACAACAACAACACCAACAACAAAAAAACCCCAAACCAGGGCAGTCATTTTCTTGGTTCTTTCGGTAAAGTCACGTAGAAGGGAAATAATAAAATAATAAAAATAAAACATAATATTATTGTTATTTTTATTATTTTATTATTTCCCTTCTACGTGACTTTACCGAAAGAACCACGAAGATGAATCCCTGCAGTCACGAAAGCTTTAAATCGAAATTTAGGGCAGTCAGTGCCTGCCACGATGAGGTCCCACAGAGTCGCCATGCTCCTTCTGCTCCAGGCCACGTGACACGCCTCGGGAGCCAATCCCGTGGAGCCGCGCATAGAGCGTTGCCATGGTGACCGTTGACGGAAACAAGAAAGCCGTTGCTAAGGGAAGGCGGGAGGTCGCTAGGGGTGACGTCATCAGCCCCGCCCCCCTCGCCTCTCTCTCCCATACACCAGTTCGTCTCGGGGCCTAGTCACGTGATGCATTTGAATTGCTAGCGCGAATAGGCGGCTCCTCCTTGCCGATTGGGTTTGGGTTGGGCCACGTGGTGCAAGCGCGGCCAATCGGAGGCGCTGGACGTGAGGCGACGCGCCCCTTTATCGCTACGGAATCTAAAGGCGCGGCCGAGCTCGGATAGACGGGTGTGTGATGTGCTGGCCACGTGTGGAGGTTTTGTGATTGAAAGCTGTAAAAAGACAACTTCAATAGAAGTAAGTGTGCATTTGTACCCATATTCTAAGCGAGTTGCTTTAGTAATTGTAACCGCTTTATTGATTTGTTGATTTTAAACAATTGTATACGTGTTTAATGCCATACGTTTCCAGTAGGCCTTTAAACACGTGTACAGTACAGTACTTTTGTAAGTGTGGGATCGTATTTGCGTTCACTACTGGCGTAATATGTTTAAGACAACATGTATTTGTCAATCAACTGTTGGGATGAATACCTTCCAATGCCGCATTGGTGATGGGGGGGGGTGATCATAACTTACGCTCGTCAGCGCAGAAGGTCAGGATACCGGTTTGGATAATTCGCCACTGATGTTAGCCGTGGCCTTAGAATCCAACTCCATTACCTGGGCTGTTAGTATTATTTTTTATTTCTCATTACTATATTCTAATTATTACAACAGTACTACAGCAATCGATAAAGTTGCTGTATTGATACACGGAAAGAGGAAGAGTAAGTTATCACTCTAGATTTGAAGTTTTCGTGACTGCAGGGATCCATACTCTATGGTTCTTTCGGTAAAGTCACGTAGGTATAAAATAATAAACCCCCCCAAAGAATAAGTTATCACCGTCATTGATTAAGTTGTCTGGGGCAGGGAACGTCATGAATAGTTTTAGGTAACTTTATCTGCCAATGTAAACACTGCAAATCAGAAAACACAAAACAAATACATCAGGCCCCATGGTAAAAAGTACAGCCTCCAACTCTTATCTCCTCCCATCTCTCAGGCCGTTCTATTAAGGGACATTGCCCGAAGCGTCGCCTGTTATGTTTTCATTTAAGGCTGTTTTATAGACGAATGTTAAGTTAATATTGTTAACTGTGCACCACTGCCAACGCAGCAGCGTCACCAAATAATGTGTTATCATTTAGATGACTGTAATGGACGATGAGGGGCTTAGTCCGTACGCATGGCGGGGGGAGGGGATAGTTAACCCAAACGCGTCCGCTTGCGTATGGGGGCTCTACTCACAATGTACAAACGCATAGGGGGGGTGAAGCCTCTATAATAATTTGTCTACATTGGCCTTCAAATGAGTCAGTCCGGCGGTGGACTATCTGTTTGTTTAAACCACGTTAATGTTCACCATTGGAACCTCATTTGCCAGAAGAAAAAATATGAGAAATTTTTTTTACCCTTTTATCTGGCAACAAAACTGACACCTTTTTTTACGAGGAGTCATGTTGCTTAGACCACAATACCTGCAGTCATAATGCAAACAAAAAACATAACTCTGATAATGTATGCACTGTCATTGAATCTTAATTTTGGAGCTTTCGTGACTGCAGGATATTATTCTTTGTTTCTTTCGGTTAAGTCACGTCATTGAAGTTGGCGTCATCTGGTCCAACACCATGTGAGACTAGGCTCTAAGAAAAGCTGTCTCGGGTGTGCACCAATCAACTTCAAGGACAGTGCATACATTATCAGAGTTATGTTTTTTGTTTGCATTATGACTGCAGGTATTGTGGTCTAAGCAAACATGACTCCTCGTAAAAAAGGTGTCAGTTTTGTTGCCAGATAAAAGGGTAAAAAAACAATTATCACGTTAATGTTATTAATCTTTGATCGTTTCTGCGTGGATTATATATCGGCCGTTCTATAGGATTCGGGGGGGGGTGTAAAAGTCCGCGTGCGTACAGGGTTGAGACCGAGTAAGTGGCAGCCTACTCGCCCGCGAGGATGTCCACCGCAGAGTCTTTCGTTCGACCGGAGGAATCCGATAAGCTATGGAGCTCTTTTTCACAGATGTCCATGAGCCGTGAGATCACCTGGTGTGCAGACGCTGTGTGGATTGTTACATGCAGGACCACGAGAGACGTTGACGGCGCGAGGGGAGAGATTCATTCAGCGGTGAATTCATACTCTTAGTTTTGTTCGGTGAAGTCATGTAGCTAATAAATAAATAATAAACTAAATATTGCAAATAATTGAAACAATAATATAAATAAAATAATTATATTATTTTTATTATTATTTTTTTGTTTTTTATTTATTTATTACCTACGTGCCTTTACCGAAAAAACTTAAGAGTATGAATCCTTGCAGTCACGAAAGCGTCAAATCTAGAACAGCAGTGGATTATTCATGGTTAATTAAATATTGTTACTACGGTATTAGAAAAGAACTACCGCATAATTGTATTATTTTTGGAGTGCAATGTTAATTCTACCATGGTATAATTGCACTCTTATTTTAAGAGCCTCATCAAAATGTAGTGGATACCGTGGGGTGTGTCCTTAGCTTAATGTACAAATATATATACAAGAGAAATTTGTGAATGTGTGTCTGTTCGAAATGTTTAACATACTTCCCGACATGCAACAAACTTGAAATTTGGCATGTGGGTAGTTTCCAGACTATATACAATGCAAAAAGTATAAAAATAGACTTTTGTATTTTGGGGGGGGGGGGGGTGCAATAATACATATATTTTGCAAGGCAAGTGAGCGGTGACGTCACATCTGTGATGTCACCCGAATGTGGCAGTGTCACGCAGTGTGCCTGCTGACGTCACGCATCTCCCCCCACCCTTTGCGTAGGCCGTGTATTAATCCAGGCTAGTGTACAATACATAGATTGGTCTGGTCACGTTTGTTGAAATGGTTTGTCCAACTTACTAGTTGAATGTTGTACTTTAAGTTACACCTTTAAAATATGAAGTTTCCCCCATTTTAACATGACATTAGGTAAATTTCGATTTAAAGCTTTCGTGACTGCAGGGATTCATCATCTTGGTTCTTTCGGTAAAGTCACGTAGAAGGGAAATAATAAAAATAAAACATAATAAAATACAATTCTCACGACGTATCGGCCACAACGCAAGCAGCCGTCCTCAGGTGAAGAACAGGTCTGTCGAAAAGACAGCGTCTGAATGAACGCCACCAAGCTTGGCAGCGTATATTTAAGCTTCCTCCCTTTGTTGCTGGTAATCCTACATAATGCACGGGCATAATATGACTTTGAGACCCCCCCCCCCCCACCTCCTACGCATTCCACAAGTAGTGACTAATTCCATATCTGCATTTTCCATAAATATGCTAAATTCCTCTGTTGATATGCAAATTCCTTTGTCAAGGCGCCCTTCCTCTAACCCAGCTTAAATATACGCTGCCAAGCTTGGTGGTGTTCATTCAGACGCTGTCTTTTCGACAGACCTGTTCTTCACCTGAGGACGGCTGCTTGCGTTGTGGCCGAAACGTTGTGAGAATTGTATTTTATTATGTTTATTTTATTATTTCCCTTCTACGTGACTTTACCGAAAGAACCAAGAAGATGACATTAGGTAGTTCTTATTTCTTGTTAGCTCTGAACATCCACACGTATGATAAAGTACAACCAATGGATTTTATTTTCAAGAGCAGATTGTTGCGTGCCACTGCTGTGGCTCAAATCATGGACCATGTGCCACATAAATTCAGGCTTGAGCGGTTTTCACAAACCATTATGAGTTCCAGTTTAAAACACCCAATGATGTTGCCGAGGCTTTACGCCAATATGAGTTGGAGGAAGAGTTACTGGACGGTGGTGGAGTCATTGTCCGGACACTGTTAATGCATTGTATTTGCAATATGGTGTGTGTTGCAGTTAGGGCATGCAGAAGCATGGCTGGTAAAGTAAAAGATTCCTCCAAACCAGAAGTATTGGATCGAGTAAAGAAAATCAAGAAAAGGAAACAGACGTGTCAAGATGTTGATGACGTCTCTGCCGAATCTTCGCAGTGTAAAGGCGCAAGAAAAAAGAGTCTAACTTCCAAAGCTCCGCAACAAAAAGATGCTTGCGAAGGTGAGGGAAACGTTACGGAAGAGTTGGAATATCAAGCCGAGTCTTGTGAAGATGGCGTGCCTGAATTGAAAATGTCAAAAAAGAAGGCCAAGAAGTGTAAGAAAAGGCGGCAGCACGAGGAGGTGTCCTGATGAGACGTTGACAAGAAAACGAAAGCACGACGATAACAAGGCCGATGAAGATACTGTTGATCCGGTGATGAAGAAAGGGAAAAAGAAAAAAAAGAACAAAAGCATCGAACTGGCCAACTGTGAAGATGTCGTGGAACAGCGGGCGTTCAAAAATAAGAAAAAAACTCAGGAAATTGAGGACCAGAGTGGAGGTGACGATGCATCATCAGAGGATCCAAAGCGTCAAGAAACTAAAAAGAAAAAGAAGATGCGAAAAAAATTGGGTGACAGTGAAACAATCAATGACTCGCATGGTCTCTCAGACACATATGGGGATACGGGGAAAGATGAAAACACAAATGGTGTTAAAAAGGCAGTGGTGTGTAAGCGAAAGAAAAGGTCAAAGTCTGAAAGTGAGGGTCATAACCAGAAGGAATTAGATAATACGGGTGAAGGAGATGTGCAGTCTGAAGCTGATCATGCTGATAATGCCCACCATTGCTCGGATGAAAATAGTGACACTGTCAAACGGAAGAAAAAAAAGGGTCAACTTCAGTCAAATTCCGACGATTGCACAGACAATCTCGAGCAATGTAAGAAAAAGAACAAAAGAAAAACAATTGAACATGACGATGCGACGGGTAAGGCTGACGTCAAGGCACCGAAATCAAAAACAAAAAAGCGCAAAACGAAGGACACCAACGCGGACGTGGATGTAGCGGGCGAAGAGGACCATTTGCTTGCGGCCCATGAGCACCAGCCAAAGACAAGGGGCAAGAAAAAACAATCGCCTGTTGGCGCTTTGGACGGCGAAGCTCCGTGTAAACCCAACGAGCGCAAAAGGCCACGGAAAGCCAGCAGCATCTCGCCAGATGCATCGGGGAGCAGCAACGAATGTCGAGCAGGGACCGGATCCAAAGGGGTGAAGCGTGCAAAGGCTGGCGGCAGAAAGAAGTCCAATGACCCTGATAATTTGGCAGAGAATGAGCAGACGGACGGCAGTCCGAGAGATCAAGGAGAAACCAGGAGGAGTGTAAGTGCTGTATTGTGTTAAAAAGCCCCTGATTTTGAATGGCAGTTGGCAAACTAAATAATCAAACTTACAAGCATCCTTAATTATTCATTCCCACTTTGGAATAATTGAGCATCGCTCAGGGACACAAAGGATTTTATATGTTACTTCTTGACGGTAAAATGTTGGGGTGATTGTCAGTATTCATTTAAATATCCTTTGAGTTAATGTTAAATGAAGCAAGGTTTTTGGGGCAGTTGTGGTCTGGCTAATGTAGGTTACAGGTTAAAGGGGCAGCCCTGCCATTGCTTGCTCACACCACTGCTGGTGGATGGGGCATCCACTTGAGAGAGCTCTAGAAAGGCCCTCTAGTAGGGATTTTTCAGCCTCTTCCACACTGGCCAGACGTCTTGAAAGAGGCTGCAGTACCCACACTTTACCCCACCGCACGCAGAATCTCTTGACCAATGTGCCACTGATTTATTTTTAAAACTCTGTTATTTGCGTTTAGAATTATGATTTAATAATTATGTTGCCAATTGTTTGACACCATCCTTTCCAGATGCTGAAGAAAGTCAAGGAGTGCGTCGTGGACAATGACGTAAAGTTCGTCACCATAAAACCCGGGAATGTTGAAGAGGAGAAATTTGATTTGGTGAGGGTTCTGCTCGGTCAAATCTGCCTGAATGCCTCACTTTCTTTGCATTGCTATTATAAAAAATACCTTCCCCCCCCCCCCCCCCCAATTTTATCCCTTACACGGTCGTGAGATGTTAACTATCTCACCTCGCTGGGTATACAGGAGGTAGTGGGTTCGATCCCGACCCTGACGCGTGTATATTTGGAGTGCATGTTCTCCCCGTGCTCGAGTGGATTTTTCTCCGAGTTCTCCGGTTTTCCCCTCCACATTTATAAACATGCATTTAGAGTATCTGGCTACAATAATACATTTCCACGTGATAAGGCACTTCGTTGAGCTGTCATTTGGAGCCAGGTTTCTTCTGAAAAAGAGCTAAAGAGCTCAGTGGGCCTTTGTAAAATAAAAATCGTTGATAGTTTAAATTTTTTATTTTTTAAGTTTACATTGGTGGCATTTCAAGAGATGTGTATGCATCATACTACATGTAACAAAAACTCAGTGCAGTGTTATCACTGCCTTAAGATAAAAATGATATCATAGTTATATCTCTGGTCTCTCTCTGTGCTATGAACAAGGGTCATTGTCTAACATGTCGCCTATTATATACTTTTACTTTTATTGATGGACGTGTTCAGTGTCGTTATTTCTGTTGTTTTTTTTCACCACTGCCAACGCAGCATCACTAAATTATTTGTTTAATCGTACAACGTGTAGGCCATGTGCCGCTGGGAGTAGGGGGTGTGTTCAGTGGTGTGGAGTGCTCAAGGGAGTGTATCGGGGCGTAAGCTCTCGAGGTGATTGAACGCTGCTCAAACTCAATGGGCCTCGGAGTGGAACAATGCGGATGTCTAGAATAAATACCTTAGTCGAGACCCAAACATTTCAACTCTTGGCTTTGACATACCTCCTATAAGACAGTGGTGGAACCCCCAAACGCATCGGAACATCAACAGGCTGATGTGGACATCTCTTTGATGAATGGAAAATTAAAGACTAACCACAGTGGCACTGTCACCATGCAACCCAAACTATGGACCATACAGGAAACCACCACTGGAGTATGCACTGCTTTAACGGAGAAATAGAAGGACGATACAAACTCTCCTGAAGTCCTCTCGTCTTGGCTATCGAACCTCGACATTAGCATTTAGCTCCTGAACACATTGCCAACATACGCGAGACTATTATAAAGGGCTTCCCACCAGCAAATACATAAAAGACATGACGAATAATGGTGCCTATTAAAGAAGCTAATCCCTCTCCTGATGTGATTTGTCTTCACAAATGCTCTTGAGCGTAGGCCAGAAGAGTGGCCCTGCAGACGCAGGTCGACATCATGACGGGAAAAGTGTCTCTGGACACGAACAAGAGCTGCGGTGACGACGGTGGTGACGGCGGTGGCAGCGGCGGTGGCAGCGGCGGCGGAGGAGGCTCCAGCACGGTGAGGCACCGTGGCAGACGATCGGGGTCCATAGCCAGGAGTTTCCCTTGGCACGTGATTTTCCCATGGCACGAGTATCACCGTGGGAGCCACTGATTTGCAATGGATTCTGGTCTCAACGGTAGATGGCGTCTTCCATAACAAACAGATCTAATCACACACAGTGTGCTTGTATAGTTTCGGGGATACTGATTTTTTAAAAATACTTTTGAGTTATAAGCAGAATGATTGTATCTTTCAAAAGTTATGAAGTGGTATTTTTTTTGTTGTTGTTGCTCAAATGACCATTGAAGTGAAACTCACTTCCCATTTCGAGCCTGAGCCTATGGTGGAAATTCAAATTTTTTTAGTCGGGGTGAGTTTTTCTATTGGACAACCACCCTTGACTTCTCCGCAAGGGATGATGGGCTGAGTCGACCCCAACCAGGATTTAAACGCGCGACCTTCCAACTGCGAGCCGTTGGCTCTTCCGCCGAGCCAACTGGCCACTTGTATGATGATCACAATAGCATGGCCTCGTTGTCATGTGCAGCAGAATCCAGCGGCTGCCCTAATTCATATTGCAGGTGTATTAACATTAAAGATACCTGTCTGCATTACAGTGGGTGTTAACCATGCTATGACGTCATACCTACTATAATCACCCAGGAATGTGTCCTTAATGCTCGTGACGTCACTCCACATCGACCAGCCTCCCTCATTAACATTCATGATAAGGTGACGTCCTCCAAATGGACACCCCCCCCCCATTATTACTACTTACTATAATTAGCGAAGAATGTCTGTGTGCAACGCTTGTGACGTCACTCCACGTCGACCAGCCCCCCTCATTAATAATCATGAACAGGTTACGTCCTCCACATGGACCCCCCCCCCTCATTAATAATCACGAGCAGATGATGTCACTCCACATGGAGCACCCTCCCCCTCATTAGTAATCATGAGCAAGTGACGTCACTCCATCGAACAGCCCCCCTCATTAATAATTATTATAAGGTGACGTCCTCCAAATGGACACCCCCCGGCGTCAACTTACAACCCTCACTACAAAGGCAGAACCCTCACGTCACGCAATCTCTGTAACGCGATTGAGACATAGAAGTTTAAAGAACGTCATGATGAACAAGGGATTATAACCTTACAATTAAATAGGTCTGTGTCACTGCGCCCTTACAAATTACACAAGTGTAGAGGTGTAATTGCGCATGGCTACGAATGTTGAGGTGTGATTATGCATGGCCACGGATGGCCAACAAACACAATGGGCGGGGTTACGGCCGTACACAAGGGTGGCGCTAGCACCGACGTCCGCATGTGTATCCCCCACGGGCCCCCCCTCGGGGGCGAGTCCTATAAAAGGTGATGAGCTCGAGGGCTCGGGGTCGGGACTCAGCTATAACCAGAGAAGACGGAAGACCAGCTAGTGTAGGCCCCAGAGCTCCCCTGGCTCGCTGTCCTTATAAGGGCCGACCAGGGCAAGCCGGTGGCGTGGCCCCGAGAGCCCAGACGAAGCTGGTCTGGTGACTCAGGGAGCCGGGATCCCAGCTTAACCAAGCTGGGACAGATAGCCTCCCCTAGTCCCGTAGTGGAGGAATTGGTATAGGTTAGAGGGGTTAGCTGTCGAGAAATCCCTGTAGCCCAGTGACCTGTAAATAACTGTGTTGGTGTAATAAATAAGTGTGCCTCCGATCCTGTCGTCAAGCCTCCATATACTTACTACATCTGGTGTCAGAAGTAAAACGTCCAAACGATGGACACACGAGGGACGACACGTACCAAGGAGTCGGAGATGGAAGACGCCGCGGCCGATTCAACACCAGAGATGGCCGGGGTCGGATCGGAGCAGCCGGGGCTAAGTACGCCCGTGCCGCTACGACAAGAGGGGGGGGATGCGTCGGCTGAAGGACTCCGGCTGGCCCACTCCCGCCTGGCGGAACTGCTCTACGCCGCCGCCGCTGCGTTGGAGGAGATCACGCGGCTGGGGGCTGGAGGGGCAGCGCGGGTCGACGACAGCAGCCGGCGCGCGGCAACGTTTCCCGCCACCCCGACGCGGCTGGCGGTTAAATTTCCCGCCATCTCTACAGTGCGAGCGGACGGCGGGGCCGGCCCGCGTCACGTGACTGCTGAGCGCCAAGCACAAGCCGTGACATCATCAACACCGGCCGGCGCGTCAACATCGGAGCGACCGGCGATGCCATGTGCACAGCCCGCCCACACTGTATCATCGGCGGGGAGCGACGGAGAGCGATCTACAGCCACGGACGTCGCCTTGCAGCAGCGTCTGCCACCTCTGAAAGAATTCGTAGGCGCAGACGGAGACTGGGGCGGCTTCAAGAGACGGTTCATCGCTCATCAGGAGATGGCGAACTGGACGGACGCCGAGGCTCTACGCGCGCTGCCAGCGATGCTGGACAACGACGCCCTGGCTACCCTCACCTCGGCGCCGAGGGAAAAGCGCGCCACCCTACACCTGGCGTTGCAGCTGCTGTCAGCCGTCTATGGGCCGCCTTCGGACTGCAGGCAGCTTTTCCACGATCGGCGTCGGGGCACCAACGAATCACCTCTGGCCTTCCGGACTGCTCTCCTGGCTCTAGCGAAGGCTGCTTTCCCAAGGATGGACGAGGAAGGAGTGGATGCCATGGTGGCTGAGAAGCTGCTGCTACTCGCTGATGAGCTGGACGTCAACGTCCTGGCTCAAGACGACTCAGAGATGTCGTCCCTGCTGGTCGCGCGCCACATCCACGGGGGCTTGCGGTCCCTTCGTCGAAAGGCGGCAAAGGGGGCGGCCAGCCATGCCATGGCGGCTACCGCCCTCCCATCGGAGGAGGTCTGCGGGGTGGAGCGGCGAGGGGAATGGAGAGCGGCAGTACCACAGGCTCGGAATGGACCGAGCCGCCAGGAGCAGCCCAGGACATCGGGGGCGCTCACACGCTGCTACAACTGTGGCCTGCAAGGCCACGTTGCGTCAGGATGCCGGGCTCCCCGTCAGCGCGGGGCGACACCTCGTCAGGACGCCACGCCGTCTCCTCCCAAGCTCCAGCAGAGAAATACGGCGAGTCGCGGCACCTCACACGTTTGGCCCACGCACACATCCGACACACACTCACGCGCCCAACTAAACAGGGCTCCAAATTCCCCATCCGTCGCGCGCGATTGTTCGGTAATGCGGCGGGCGCTCCAACCGGGTCAGTGGTCGGAGCTCGCCCATCGTGTCGTTGCTGCGTCGGCGGGATCTTCGGTCGTGGTCGGTCACATTGATGGGGTAGAGGTGCGGATTTTAATTGACACAGGGGCATCGGCGACCATTATATCTGATTTAATTTATAACATCCTTCCCGTTCAAAGTCGTCCCTTGCTCCCTGTTGACGTGCCGTGCTATGCCGCTAACGGGGGCTCTCTGGGCATTATTGGCCAAATCCGCGCCACTATCTGCATTGGGGACATTAAATTATCCGGGCCTGTTTTGGTTTCCTCCTCACTCGCGGTTCCGTGCCTGTTGGGGACGGATTTTCTGGCCAAAATGCCCATCCGCATCCTTATTGACCAAGGGTGCATTGAGCTCCCATCGGGCCGACGCGTTACATTTCTGTCTTCCCCCACCACGGAGCGTCGGGCGTTTGCCACCGTGCAGGCGCTCGTCACAAAAACTGTGCGCGTGCCTCCGGGGGCTCAGATGCTCGTCCCTCTTAGATTGCGTCGGCCGTTTAATGAAGGGGTTGCGGATCGGGGGGTCTTGTTGGGACCATCTCGGGCCGGGGTAAATGGACCAGATTTGCTCGCGGCTCAGACCATGGTGAGGGGGGATGGGGACCCCTTCATTGCAGTCCTTAATGTGGGATCGCGAACGGCCGTGGTTCCTCAAGGGACCGTGCTTGCACACGCAACGCCGGTACCCTATGAGGAACCACTCGTGGGTCAGGTATCCACCGATCCTCCGTCGCGACCGCATTCGGACTGTGATGACGGTTGGCTGGATGCGCTTTGCGCGGGTTCAGTGGACCTGTCCGACTCGCAGCGCGCGCAGCTGCGAGTTCTTCTGAGCGAATTTGCTGACGTTTTTAGTCAACACAAATTTGATATTGGTTGTACTAAATTGCTGCGACACCATATTGACACGGGTGACAGCGCGCCAATCCGCCAAAATCCCTTTCGGTTGAGTCCCGCCGAAAAGGATCATGTCAAATCGGCTGTTGATGACATGCTAGCCGCCGATATCATTTCCCCTTCCAATAGCCCGTGGGGCGCGCCGATCGTTTTGGTGAAAAAACACGACGGATCACTGCGGTTTTGTGTCGACTTTCGGCGTCTGAACAAAATCTCTGTGGCAGATGCGTACCCGCTTCCTCGAATGGATGAGTCGCTCGATGCCTTGGCGGGGGCGCGATTCTTTTCCACCCTCGATTTGCTATCTGGATTCTGGCAGCTTCCTCTGGATGACGAATCAAAACCTAAGACTGCTTTTCGGACACCGCAGGGTCTCTTCCAATTTAACCGCTTGCCGATGGGTTTACATTCTGCGCCGGCAACTTTTCAGCGGTTAATGGAATTGGTCTTGGCAGGGTTGCAATGGGATTCGTGTTTGATTTACTTAGACGATGTCATCGTCTTTAGCAAATCCTTCGAGGAACACCTCCAGAGGTTGCGTGCTGTTTTTCTCAAAATGCGGGCTGCCAATTTGAAATTTAAACCACAGAAGTGCCATTTACTCCGCGAATCGGTGCGATATTTGGGTCACATTGTTGGGCGCTCGGGGATATCCACTGATCCCGCCAAAACGGAATGCGTCAGCTCCTGGCCGACTCCCACCTCTGTGGGAGAGGTCAGGAGTTTCATTGGGTTCGCGTCGTATTATCGGCGATTTGTGGCTGACTTCGCTACGATTGCGAAACCTTTGCATGCCTTGACGTCCAAGGGAGTCAGGTTTCATTGGGGGCCGGAGGAGGAGGCTTCTTTTCGCGCCCTCCGGAATGCTTTGGTGGGGGCGCCGCCGTTGAATTACCCGGATTTTTCACAACCCTTCTTGCTCGATACAGATGCAAGTAACACGGGCATCGGGGGCGTGCTGTCCCAGCTCATTGGGGGCGTAGAGCATGTGGTGGCTTACGGTAGTCGGGTACTGTCTCCAGCCGAACAGCGGTACTGCGTTACCCGTCGGGAATTATTGGCGATTGTTTATTTCATTCAGCAGTACCGCCCGTATCTGTACGGTCGGCGGTTCACCGTCCGTACAGATCATGCGGCCCTACAATACGCCCTGCGGGTTCAACAACCATCGGGCCAGTTGTCTCGATGGTTGGAGATTCTCCAAGACTATGACTTTGTCACCACATATCGTAAGGGTCTCCGCCACACGAACGCTGACGCCCTGTCGCGATTGCCACCCACTTCGGAGTGCGCGTGCCTCTTGGGTTCGGGGCGTTGTAGGTCTCCGAACGTCACCACCGATTCGGTCCTCGTGGCCGCTGCCGATGCACCTTCGGTTTCGGGTCCTATCGAGCAAGAAGGGAGGGATTCGTTGCTGGGGTTGTCAGTCGCGGAATGGGGTCGCCTCCAAATGGAGGACACCTCCCTCCTCGCTCTGCGCCGTCGCGCCGGGGGGATTGGCCAGGGGGTGGAAAACGTTGACTCGTGGGGGTTGTTCCAGGGACTTTTGATGCACTGGAATGGTAAAACCCGGCGCCAGCGGCTCGTGGTGCCTGCTGCTTTAAGGGGTAAGGTGGTATGGGCTGTTCATGAGCGGCTTCTGCACTTGGGGGTTCATAAGACCTTTGCCACGCTCCAGCTAGATTTCTTCTGGCCGGGCATGGAAAAGGACGTGGGGGACCTCTTGGGGTCGTGCACGCAATGCGCGCAGAGGAAGCCACCTGCTAGGGGATCCAACCCTCCGCTGCAGTCCATAAAAGTTTCCAGGGTTAACGAGCTCGTCGCTCTGGACATACTTGGCCCATTTCCCGCTACACCCAGGGGCAATAGGTATTTACTAACGGGGGTTGAATACTTCACGAGATGGCCTATGGCCTGGCCCCTGGCGAACCAATCGGCAGCAGCCATCGCGGAGGCCTTTGTCCAGGGCTATGTCCTCGACAAGGGTGCTCCGGAACGGCTGCTTACTGACCAGGGTAGGAATTTTTCTGGTAAACTCCTACGTGAGGTGTGCGACCTCTTGGGTACGGAGAAGGTTCGGACCTCTCCGTATCACCCACAAACTGACGGGATGGTGGAACGGCTGCATCGGACCATCACGTCCATGCTGTCCCAGCAGGTGTCGGTATCCCAGACGGATTGGGACCTCCGCATAGCCGGTGTGTTGCAGGCCTACAGAATGGCTCCCCATGCGGCCACCGGATTTTCCCCTTTCTTTTTAATGTATGGGCGCGAAGTTAACCCTCCTGTGGCGACCCAGCTGAAGCTCTCGGCGCTCCAGGCGAAGTCTAAGTTGTCCGAACACGTTAAATTTAACATCGCTCAATTGTCTGAGGCGCGGGAAGCGGCCGTGCAAAATTCTGAACTCCGCCAGAAGGCGAACGAGAGGCTTCGGTTGGGGCGGGTGCAGGTGGTCAAATGGGTACCAGGGGACAGGGCGTGGTTGCACTGTCCTCAGGTGCCGCTGGCAACCTCGTCGAAATTGGTACGGCCGTGGCGGGGGCCAGTGGAGGTCGTGCAGGTTTTGCGGCCGCAATGTGTTCGCGTCAAATGGGGGAGGCGCCGGTGGTATGTGCACCCCTCAAGGTTAAAACCATTCGTCACGCCGCCCCGGGGTTCACACACACACACGCATGGCCAAACGTGTGAGGGTGTCGCCGACTCCCCGTCGTCGCTGCACTCGCCTAACCTGACGCCAACTGTTCCGCCCCCAGGTGAAACAGGAGTGACGGGCCCACGCCCACCAACCCCTCCCGGAGGGGTCGGGGGTCACTCGGCAGCGGAGCCTGACCCTCTTGCACCCGGACCGTCAACAACCGTCACTGAGCGTGCCGGGACGGACCCTTGTGACGGACCCGCCGCGAGAACGCGCGCCAAAACGCGCAGACTTTTGTGAGGTCGGCCGTTGGGGGGCCTTGCGGACAAAAGGGGAGGGGTGTTGTGAGGTCGGCCGTTGGGGGGCCTTGCGGACGATGGGAAAGGTGACGTCCGGAGTGTATATATATGTTGGTTTTGGGGTGTTATCCGGGGGGGGTGCGTCGGGTTATTTTTTTTCTCTCTCTCTCTCTCTTCCTCTCGTTGTTCTTGTTCTTGTTAAAAATTACGCGAGGCACACACACGGGGTTTTTGTGAGGGATGCACCTTTATTCTGATTTTTTTTTTTTTTTTGCAGCCAGGGACGGCTGCGAGCTGTACAGGGGGGGTGATGTAGAGGTGTAATTGCGCATGGCTACGAATGTTGAGGTGTGATTATGCATGGCCACGGATGGCCAACAAACACAATGGGCGGGGTTACGGCCGTACACAAGGGTGGCGCTAGCACCGACGTCCGCATGTGTATCCCCCACGGGCCCCCCCTCGGGGGCGAGTCCTATAAAAGGTGATGAGCTCGAGGGCTCGGGGTCGGGACTCAGCTATAACCAGAGAAGACGGAAGACCAGCTAGTGTAGGCCCCAGAGCTCCCCTGGCTCGCTGTCCTTATAAGGGCCGACCAGGGCAAGCCGGTGGCGTGGCCCCGAGAGCCCAGACGAAGCTGGTCTGGTGACTCAGGGAGCCGGGATCCCAGCTTAACCAAGCTGGGACAGATAGCCTCCCCTAGTCCCGTAGTGGAGGAATTGGTATAGGTTAGAGGGGTTAGCTGTCGAGAAATCCCTGTAGCCCAGTGACCTGTAAATAACTGTGTTGGTGTAATAAATAAGTGTGCCTCCGATCCTGTCGTCAAGCCTCCATATACTTACTACACAAGCACTGATGCAATGCATATCACGTCGCGGTCTGCTTTTCGCTTGCAAGTTTCAGATTTACTGCAATACACCTTTGACGGGCAAAATGCTAGTTTGTAAGAATAGTCCATGATGTACCAGCGTCATGGTCCAAATTTTTCAACTAAAAAAATCACCCGCAAATGTGCTCGCTTGGATTATACAGAGCAATTGTCACCCCATACTACGAAGACTTTGGCACGACCCTGCTGAAAAAGTCGGTGTTTCCTGGGTAAACAAGCGTAACAATATGACTTAAGTTACCTGTTCTCTCTCTGTGCAACAACACAGGCCAGAGCCACGCAGTTTGGCCAGTGGGACACTGCCTGTCTCGGGGACGCCACGAAGCAGAACAAGTTCCTGCGGCTCATGGGCGGCTTCAAGAAAGGCTCCGGACACTCCGGGTCCGAGTTGGAGTCCGGACCGGGCGCGAGCGGCAGGGCAAACATGGCGCTTGGCGGCGAGAGCGAGAACCGGCTGAACTCGGCGCTAGAGTCCCAGTTCCAGCATGCCTTGCAGCGCAAGAATTATCAGCAGCGCGGCGTCGGTCTCGGCTTTCAGGCCGATGCGAGTGCTAAGAAGACGTTTTTTATCGACAAGGCGATGAGCCGCTCCCTCAAGTTGGAGTGAGCTGCCGTCACTTGCGATTTTAGTTTTTATTCAAGAGAAAAAAAAGTTTTTTTATTAATGAATGTTTTTACTTGGAACTCTCAGCTGTGTGTATGTTGAACTTCTTTCGCACTGTGACTAGCCAACCGTGCTAATCGGAGGTGCGGGGGAAGGACAACAAACTATACACAAAAAGGAGTTCTGAAGAAATTAGTTTTCAATTTAGAAATCATTGCAGCCATCCACTTGATGATTGTGGATTGTCCGTACTCCCAAGAAAGCCAGAGTACCCAATGAAAATCCACCACACCCACAATTGGATAACACCAGGAGCTCTGCACAGATGGATGTAGTCTATTGTTTACTGGGCCATCTCCTTGCCCACCTCCTGGCCATTTTCTTTTTTTAAGTGACAGTTGCTGAGCACAGAGCCAAGTGACCAGCAACAAAACACCACTACTGAAGGTGAAGCAGATAAGAATAAATTTCTTACATGAATTCTATGAACTTAGGAGAAGAGACAATAGGGAATTCCAATGTTGAACAGTGGGAGGAAAGAAACGGAAGAGCGTTATAGGAAGTGTTGTAGGTCACTGTTGAGATACTAGCATCTTGCACATGTGATTTTAACATGTCTTTGAAATACTGGGATAATTCATGTGTGGGGTGGCCTGGTACATGTTTGCTTAACTGTTATTTACATGAATACAATTTAGCTCATCAACAGCGTGTTATGTTATTTATGTTGAAGTTAATGTTATCAAAACATTAATTTTGGAACAGTCCATCAATAGTCATAGATTGTACTTAACTGGGACTGCTTGGCATGTAACATTGCAGTGCATCGTGGAGATGCGGCTGTAAAATGTATGAGCTTAATGACATTTTACATTTTTAGAGGTCTCTAAAACAAACTATATAGAGAATACTTTGAGGTGGTGTCTTGCATGGGCTTAGTCTTGCCAATAGAACAGGGCTGTTCTACCCCGACCTTTCTAACTTTCTGATCCAATTAGTTGGGAGCTTCAATAAAATTAAACTAAATACTGAACTTTTGATTTCACCAGGTAAGGCCCACTGAGGTATATGGCTCTTTTTCAGAAGTGACCTGGCCACGAATGATTGCTCAACGAAGTGGCTTATCATGTGGAAATGCATCGCAGCCAAATACTCTGAACCAGTGGTTCTTAACCTGGGGTGCACACCACCCCCTGCGGGTGCGAGACATGGCCAGATTGTTTTAGAAGGTAAATAATCGAAACACAAATTAAGCTCGGGCATAAAGTTTGTTTCATCAAACCTATGTTTATTAACATACATTTTTTTAACGATTGAGAGCCAAATGGGTGCAGTAAAGGTTAATAACCACTGCTCTAAACGCGTGGATTCTAAATGTGGAAGGAATAATTTGAGGACCCATAGAAAATGCCACGCGGCCACAGGGAGAACGTGCAAACTCCAAATGTACAGGCGTCAGGGTTTGGATCGAACCCACGACCTATATACCAGTCGAGGTAGTTAACATCTCGCCACCGTCCCACAATTACTCTGCTACAGGCCTGCATTTGAATTTATAAAACCAATGTTATCTCACGCGCATGACATGCCCGCTTGTATGTGTATATTTTATTTCGGTATCAAAACAAGAAAATTCAGAACGGCCATCCTGTAATAAATATTTTTATTTTTAATCTACGTTCACATCAGGGATGGTAATCTAGTTGATAAACACAACAGGCACACATTTTGGCTTTGGAGCTAAAGGCAGCGCTCCAGTTTTGGGTGGGCACAATGCAACAGCATTTTGTTGCTTTACAAGGAATCAGAAACTGGCACGGTGCCCTTGCATAATGATAGCAATTCTCAAGGATGAAGGTGCTTCGAACGGAATCGACACGAATTGAGGCTGTGTGAATAAAATACAAAATATGTACATGTACCCGTATTACCCATGTTATTTACTGGTGCTGCTGAAAATACAAACGTCTGTTGATTCTCGCTGCGCTGCAGAGGTTCTGCATTTTTTAGGTTGACGCAAGCGATGTTGTCCATAAAGGTTTTTAGGTTAGACCGCGTAAATGTGTCGGTAAACCACCACCACCCGACAGCCAATTAGTATGCTTTGTCACCTGAACAAAACGTGCCAATTGCTACTTTAACACACTAATGTGTTGGAGAGTCAACCGACAAGATTTACGACATTTACGCAATTTAACCCAAAAACCTTCATGAATAATATTGATCGCGAAAGCCTACGTGTTAAACTCACCGATGCGGTGTTTGTGTGCGTGGAGGGATTGCCGCATGAGAGTGAGTACTCTCGTTTAGCTGAAAGGTGAACGTGGCAACGGGCCTGCACGGCCAACAAAATGTGCATTCTCTTTGAGCAGCTGGCCTAAAGCCATGTAGACGTCCTATGGGCACGCAGTCTGTGGTGCTCGGTGATGGTTCGAGTGTCAAAGTTTTCTGTCGAAGTCCCCAGTCAACATTCACTCAGTTGGAAGTCGCTTATTCTCTCCGTTGTGCCCATCGTCTGGAACTCCCTGAAGTTTATTGTGGTATCAACTGCCTGCCCCCATTCAAGTTCAAGCTCGGTGCCTTGTTTTTCTTCTGCCTATGGCCGATTTTCTTCCCTCTAAAAAACATGTCCTCTGTTTCTGTACAGAATATTGAGATGTGTTGCATTTACACCTATGCCGTCTTGTGTTGTAAACAGGCTGATGGTGTCGTGCCTTCGCTATTACCGCAATGTCTGTATCCAGACTCAAGGGAGGTATGCGGTGCGAGATGAGTTTCAGTAAACGAAGTTGCGCATTCTGGAAATGCCCGTCTTTGGTCTCCCTTCTCCACTTCTTCCCCGGACCACCCTGCGTGGAAAACAACATTTTTAAAAATATGTATATACTCCTTTACATGTAATGTTTCCACAATTGTATTCCCATTTTGATATCAGCATCATGTCCTGCGACTGAGTACCCAGTGTCAGAAATGTACATCCAGAAGTAATGCTCAGCTGCTGTGTGCTTAAAGACCTTGCTTGTGTGAGAATGCACATTTAACACAACACAGCATCACACAGCTTTGGATTGTGTCGTCGAATATTGAAGTGGTGGAGGTAACTCGTGCGTCGCTGATCGTGTGCGGTGATGCGTATGGGGCTGTTGGCTTGTTCTTAGGGTGACGTGATAACGGCTGACTCATTCTAAACTGAACTTGGGCAGCAGATGTTCTGCACTTGCCCTTCAAGTGTTGGGGCATGACTTTGTCGAGTGCATGATAATGGTGCTTTGTCAACCAGGAGTCATGCCAAGATGGGTCTGAATTTGTATTTCTTTTTGAGAGACGAATCTTTGTGTAACAAAAATACAATGTTTTGGATGTATAGTAATTATTCGAACTGGATGTATACTATTATTTAAATTTAAACAATAAAATAAATTGCAGCTCATTGTAACTCAACGTTTATTTTATATTGTCAAACGCAGTACAATACATAAAGGATTAATGTCAACAAACAACCATACGTAGTAAATATTAACTATAGATATAAAACTTGATTTGAAGCTATGTCGATGGTGTGTCTCTCTCTGTGTTGTCTCTCTCTGCTTGTGTGTCTGTGTGTGTCTCCGTGTCTGTTTGTCTCAAATTTAGTTCCACCTGATGACGATTGCTTGTGTTGCAATCGAAACGTCCTATTCTATAATTTAATTAATTTTATTTCTACGTGACTTTACCAACAGAACCAAAGAGTATAGATATAAAATTACATTATTTCAGTATCTAAGCAGGGTTGATCCTGGATAGTGCTTGGATGGGTGACCACCATGCATCAGTTTGCTATAGCCTTAGGGACTTTTTTGGACAGCACAGGCAAGAACATAAAATCATATTGTTGTACGCTACTTATATGTTCCCATATTCACCACCCTACACTGACCAGCGTGGTGAAGTGTGCTCTAACAACCTCTTTGACCTGCACTCGGCCACATTGTCAAAGCAATAAGGAAAACTTTACATTAAAAACTTCCTCTGAAGGAATGGCTTTTAAACATGATCTAATTCATATTTATAGAGCTGTGACAGGAACGACGTGACAGGCAAGCGATTCGTACTTTTGTTGATTGGCAGTGGCGGGTTTCGTAGGTCTGCTCGCAACAGGTTTCCTGATGTAATATGACAGCGACAGGAAACTCGCATTAATTCAGACTTCGAGTTGTAGCGGCATGATGCCCGACGTTTCGCTCCACACACTCGGAGCAAAACGCGGGGTATCGTGAACAACACACTTTCAGTTCCCAAAGACGTTCCCAGCACGTGGAGTGAATCATCGGACGTTGTGCCAAACAGAAAACATTTATACTGGAGGTATCTGATGAGCGGTACAACCTGAAAATAGATTCGAGAGCTACACAGCACACACACCTAAATAGTTTTATACTGATATTGCCTCTAGTTCTCGTCATAACAAATGTGGTGGATACGTGATTGCTATCTGAATTATTGTCCTAACTGATTTTCACACCGCCCAAGTAAAAGGTAACTCGCTTCACGATTATGCACATTATTACTCCCCTCGTTAACATCGTCCGAAATGTACATCTGAATTCATGGAACTGCCTTGCGGTGTGACACTCACGTCTGTTGGCGGCTTCTCTCGAGTGGCCTCTGCGAGGCTGGCCCCTTGTTGAGTTGACCTTTGGCCTTTTCCTACAAGAGGAGAAAGTCATAGCCATCTGCGAAAGCTCAACAAATCCGGTCGCCCACGTGCTGTGGACCAACAGAAATGCCGGCATGCGTCAACGCATCTCCTATAACGCCTCAAGGCTGTCGATGCCACATGTTTTCGCCAAAAGTCAGTTACCCAGTTTCAAGTTCACATAGAGCGTTAGAAAACGTTCCGTCTATTCGAATTGTCTGTAAAATGTATCGGGAAGATATATTTTTTTATGTTCTTACAAACAAGGTGTACTATTTGCCAACAAGATCAATTGTATTAGTCATTAATTTTAGTCAATGTTGTTTGGGTAGAGTGGTGGCACAATGCTTGGCGCACTGCGCTATGAACCCCGGAAAACTGAGTTTGACTCGCAACCCAAGCTGATATCGGTAGCAAGTGATATCTGTTTGAAATGGTCCTGGTCCCCCACCCCCCTCACCACCAGCATAGTGAAGTATGGTCAAACAACTCCCATGACTGACATGACATGGGAAGGTCCTCACCCAGCAATCGATTGACGAGGGCTGTATATTATTAGAATTATAAATGCAGTTAGGAACTGGTGACTGCAAAACAATAACAATTCTGTTTTGGAAAATGGCGAGTTGCTCAAGTTACATGATTACATTTTGGTTAAGTTCTTACTTTATAGAGTATAGATTTGCTCTCTTTTTGAAGGCAGGAACTCCATTATTGCATGAATACTTACACAGCGACCCATATAATCACATGCACTTACATGATCCATAGAGTTGCATAGTCAAATACACTTGCATAGAATTACACAGACCCATAGATTCTTATGATTGTCTTTCTCCACGTACTTCTATTGTGTATTTTCTAATCACATCGACTATCCTTAGAGACCTATAGCCTCGCATACACTTAAAGAGACTCGTAGATTTCCATACAGTTCCATGATCCATACCTACTTACATAGAGAGTCATTCACTTACAAACTCATACACTCACATACACTTACACAATCCATGTACTGTACTTGCATAGAGATCAATACACTTCCACAGACACCCATAGACTGATTTTCCAACCCCATGTGCTTGTTATACTTGTATCATCAACATCCACTGTCCTCGTATTTCATTCCACCACTTCCATCTCACCCAAGGTCTCCTCTGCATCTCCCCTGCATTGGAAACTCTGCAGTCCTTATCATTCAGTATGTGTCCTTTATTTAACCAGGATATTAATTAAACCCATTGCGACGCATACAACATTGCCTCTTCTGCAAGAGCGACCTCGGCTATATCACGTAATAATGATGAGCTTCGTTGCGGAAAATATGAGTAACAAAATAAACAGTAGCGAATAAATAATGGTATTTTTTAAATAGAGGGATAATTGTATGAATGAGATGTATTGTCTGATTATTGTGGGTTAGGCCAAACCATTATAAGTATGTACATAGAATATTTGAAAACCAATTTACATTTATGAAACGTAGACTAAATTTAATCATCACTTCATGAAAATACGTATAAATGCATATTTGTGTATTCATTATAATTCATAGTGATTGTCTTGACAACATTTGTTTTTTTTACCAATTCCCTGAGCCTCCTCTCCTTCTGCAGCTCACGGTCCCTGTGCAAAATGCGCGCTCTCACGAACCCAGGAGCGCCGTGGAAGATCTCGTGTATGTCCATGAGTGCTGCTCGGAGCTGAAAGATACACCAGACACATTCAACATTGCTATTTAAAATATCAATAAACGACTCTTGATTCTCGTGCGGATTATCCACGTTTGCCGACGAACCATCCTTGCGAAAGGTGGAAGAAAAATAGAGACTTTTGGTATCCGTGCAAATCTGCTGTGCTCTCTCTTACGCACTCGCTGCATCAGTAATTTGTCTGCTTCTAATTCGCGAGTCACTAACCAGTAATAAATACATATATACCACTGACTATGCATTCTATGTCTTCACCCTCATTCTATGTAAGTAAATGGTGTGTTTACATCGTCTAATTTCCGTATGCTTTTCATCATCCGTGCTTTTGTTTTATCCAGACATCCCCCCACCCCATTATTCGGAATAATAGAGAGTTGTCTTTATCATTAATGTTGCATATTTCCCAAATAACATAACAATTTTGCAAATGGTATTGTCATCATATGAATACATTTCCACGTGGAACTTTGGAATGGCTTGGAAGATGGCACCACAAAACTACTTTGGAAGTCGCTCCAATAGACCCCGTTATCCACACTTGGGGCACAACTTATAGTGTCCTGCAAATAGGGTTTGCCAAAAACTTAAATTTAATTGTCAGGGTTGAACTCCTGAATTCAGTGAGCCACCCGGTCACCTTGGGGCTGCCTTTGTTTTGTCGGCAGCGCGCTGCCAAGTGTGACTCTCACAGGAATGTTTTGATGCACAATGTTAACCTGGGCATTGAGTCTGGTTTCCAGGGTGACGTCTTGGGAGGAGAGGATGCCGTTCTTCATCCGGCTTTCCCTCTGCACCGACTGCAGAAGTTGCGTCGTATCCTGTGGATTGATGCACATGAGCCTCTTACCTACTGCGTATGCAGTGAGGGTTCCTCCAGTCCATCAAGGAATGCTGACTATAATTGTTTAAACTTTGAGCCGGGTAATATAGTTGATGAGTTAATATCAGGCCAGCAAGATACCTGGATAAGAGGAGACTGGGATGATGGGTCATTTAGATTTGTGAAACTCCCAAACCTACTAGACTGCTGTGAGATGGGCCGGGAGATGGCGGGTGGTACAATGGGTTCATGAATCTGTCTGTGGACCATTGAGTGGCATCTCCTAGCACGAGTGCTGTATTTGGGTATGGGTATGACACAACATTTGTGTGATCAACCAACCCTCGCCTGTATTACAGAATAATAGCAATCCTAAAAATGTAGAACTACCAAATGCACTGGTTTGGCAGGGACAGCCCCACTTTCAGAAAAGGCTTTACCACAGTCCCAAAACATTTGAAAAAGTGGGATATCCCAGTTTAAAATGTTCTAGCCTCATCCTCCACCCATGACACATGCAAAAAGCGGGGTGACCTGAGGAATGGGCGAGGTTGGCAGATCAGTAGACAGGGCCTATGAGCAGTAGGCAGGACCAGCATCAGAGAGATGAAGGAGGCCACTCACCTCACTGTGTGGGTGGGTCTAGCAGTTGAGTGGGCGTGACGATGTAAAACTAGGCGGGGCTAAAGGAGGGAGGGGCTGTCTGCTCACCATGTGTTCCAATTAAGCCTCCTAGACAATTTGGTGGCTTTATGTGCGAACGTGTCATTCCCTGCTGCCCCTGAATGAGTCACCAGCACGGTCTGCTTCAGGTGCTGCAGCTTCTCTGTCCGCATGAGTCTCCGCGTCAGGAATCCTTTCCCGACGGCCGTGACGACCTCAATCGCTCGGCGCAAGCCGGGGCTGTCGGCGGCCTGCGGTCGGTGCCAGGGGGTCGGGAGATATTTAGACGTAAGCGTGCGAGTCACGTAACAATTCACCAATTACATAAATTAAAGTAACAATAATTACAATTAGGTGGAACAATGACATCGGATTGCGTACAGGTGTTGGGTGAATTGTTGCACAATGGTGGCGGGTTGGGGAGGCCTTCATCCAGGAGTGGAATGATCTTGGCTGATTATGATATGGGTGATTTCAGAGTAATTGAATAATAATAATAATGGTGATGCATTCGGCATGTCAATGAAATGGGCTGGTAAGTACATACCGACCAGTTGTTAGAAGCCATACAACGTTTATAAATTAGAATGAGGCTTTGTGTCCCACGCGGTACAGTAATTTAATTATCATGGAACTGATCATTGTAAAATTTTGCTTGTTTGGCTAACGCACTCGAACTAGCCAACTATATCCTAATCCTAGGCTTAACCGTAATCATGCTAGCCAACCAAAGCTTGACCCTACTCTTATCCCTAATCTTAGTAGCCAACCAGGCCATAAACCTAGCATTAACCTTCATCATACGAGCCAACCAGACTCTAATCTTAGCCTTGACCCAATTCAAACTAGCCAATTAACTCCAAACCTAATATTAACCTGAAGCACACGAACCAACCAAACCCTAACGCTCGCCTCGAGCTTCTCCACAGTGGTAAATCAGTCACTAACGCTGGCACTTCAAAAGACCTCTGGTCAGTTGCATAAAATACAGTGAGGGAAAAAAGTATTTGATCCCCTGCTGATTTTGTACGTTTGCCCACTGACATTAAAATGCAAATCAATTTATAACATTTTTGACATGCGTTTTTCTGGATTTTGTTGTTGTTATTCTGTCTCTCACTGTTCAAATAAACCTACCATTAAAATTATAGACTGATCATTTATTTGTCAGTGGGCAAACGTACAAAATCAGCAGGGGGATCAAATACTTTTTTCCCTCACTGTACCTGAAGTGAAAATAATCCCTGAATTGACAATGATTGAATTATGAAGCCAATGGAATGTTGTACTTAAACTGCCTTATTCAACGGACCCTCCCAGGATACTTAAATCACCTTCTCCCTACCTCCTGCTCCCTCCTGAATTGCTCCCTATTTGTGGCTGTCATGGCACACCGTGCGCTCCGTACCCTGGCCAGGAGGGCCCTGAAGGTCGGAGGAGGCTCCAGCCTCGCCGAGGAGTGCGTGGGGTCTCCCTGCGAGTGAGGCCACGCGCCCGGCGATTCCTGCTGCCACGGTGGGGTCGCAGTGCACGTGACCTTCTCTGAGGCCACACACGGCGCGCACACGATCCAACAACACATTTCAATGCCCCGTCAAGGTGTATGTGCGCATGTTGAACATATTTCGCACCGCACGTTGCCAACCCTGCTAATCAGAGACGATTTATTGATTTGAATTTTTTTAAAATAATTATTGGTTATGTATCGACGGTGGGGTTATGTAAAAGACAGCATATGGTAGTGCGGTAAAACCAATTTAAACCCCGCCTTCACCAACCCGCACTGACCAGCATGGTGAAGTACTGTTAAATAACCCCCACAATCCACATGGTGTGGGGAGGCTATCGTCTAGCAGTGGACTGGCAAAGGGTTGCACATGTACATCACAGATAATTATCAGGGTCTGTTTCACCACCTACTTTAACAAATGCTGCTTGAAAACAGGGGCCCAATAGGCTCATGAGCGGATAGTCAAAAATGTACTCACACGTCTATAAACATGGTGAAACTATGGTTTGCTAAAGTCACGTAGGTAAAAAATTAAGTCTCTACCTGAAGGACGCTTGTGTTGCACCCGAAACGTCGTGATTCAATTTATTGTTTATTTAATTTGTATTTATCTATTTATTTACTTACTTATTTATTTCCCTACGTGACATTACCGAAAAAACCAGAGTATGAATCCTTGCAGTCACGAAAGCTTCAAATATAGAATGATGGTCTGCTAATATATGAACAGTTAAAATTCAACAACTAGACGTCGACACTTATCTTATAGACGTGCACCTGGGCTGTGCTTTACAGGGTGTTCTACCCAAGTAATGTACAAAGCTTCTTTAATGAGAAAAAAGCCATTAATTATATAGGCAAATGCACCATTATATAACTCCTGTGACATCAAAGTTCGTCAATGCAGTGACGTCACGGGATCACTATGACAGATAGTCTTTCCATAACTTTAAAGTCTTTTTTAACTAACAAAGCCGCAAATGTGTGTCAGATAGCTCGAAACATCCACCTACGTGTGCATTTCCACTTAAATAAATTAAGAGTTATTTGTTTCATCGGTTGTGCCTTCCTTCAAGCAGTGCACATGTAAAAGTAATTCTGTCGTTCAAATATTTCCATCCAACAAGCTGTTGGAACCAACTTATATCAAAAAGTAAATCATGCAACATCATGTGATGGCAATAACAACAAAAAGAACAGTCACACGAGACGACTGCTTTTTTTTAAGCAAAACCTTTTAGCGAACATTTAAAACCTGGAAAACATTTGGGTGAAAGTATTTTTGTCCACCATGTGCTCAGAAACTGCAGTGTTAAGAAAACCCCGACTGTAAACGCAGTCAGTCCTCCAAAGGGCAACACCTTTTAGGTGAAAAGAAAACTAAATAAACCCACCGAACATTTAAACAAATGCAGCACTCGCCTGATCTGGGCGTTATTTGCGTTGGCGGGGCGCGTGCATTCCCATTGCTGTGTTGGGTCACTGGCGACCGGCCACCACCGATACCATTACCATCATTGCCGCCAAACTCCAGCCTGCGTTTCACCTCTGCATCCGAGCAAGATTGGCAGGAGCTGGGCCGCCCCAATTCTCCATCGCCCGCCACCTCCCGCAAGCGGCTGGCTAGCAGCACAGGCGACGGCTCGTCCACATTGTACGAGCAGTTCAGCGGAGAGAAGCGGTCTCTGTGCGGCGCCTTGCCCTTGCCCGGACGACTCGCGAGGGCATGAGGGGGGCTGGCACTCATCTTGGGGCTCGGCAGGCAGCTGTAGGAGCTGCTGGAGCCACTGCTGCTAGAGCTGGAGTTCAAGCGCGAGGCACTGCGCTTGTTCGGGGGCGGCCCCTCCTCCGAGTTTGAGCGACCAGGCTCGCATGTCCAGTTCTTGGCAAATGATATGGTTTGAGGCCGCCTTAAACTGTGTTGTGAATTTGCAGTGGTGCTGCTGCTGATGTTGCTGTTGCTGCTGCCGACTTTGTTTCCTCTACTGCTTTTGTTGTAGTTGCTGTTGCGTGCGGTGGCCGAGTCCTGGGTGGGTTTTAACCTTCTGTCCTTTGACTCCTCATGGCTCAAACTAAGTTTGATCTCAGCGGGTGAGGTGTCGTGGTGCTCATCTTTATTTTGTTTTCTGTGGCTCTGTTGCAACGTTTCCTTCACAGGTGACTCCTTCTCTTCATCATCGACGTGCGTGTGCAATCTGTCTTCTGTGTGCGATGCTCGTTCGTCGTTTTTGGCACAAGCCACGTCGTTTGAATGGCTACTCGTGTGCGATTTGACATTCTCCTGCAAAGGCAAAAATAAAATAAACAAGTGTATTGGGAGGTCGTTTATTTCAACCCACATGCAAACATAATAGAACAGTTGAGCAAAATTGCCATGAACACACCCGTATGTTGATTACAACATTATTAACACTCTAGGCATATAAAATAAATTGTTGGTGCATGTTTACACAACCACCCACGGCGGGAAATGGTAGTGGTCTGGTATTTTTCAGAGGACCCTTTAGCTACACGACGAAATGCGACAATGTACTGAGACCTTCATGCAGCATTGAATAATAACAATAATAATGAGAGGCAACTAGTGATCAGAGCACCTGCCCACCTTTATCCATGTAATACGTGGTCTTGCGGCGCTTTCACTATGCAAGTTCCACTCTGCAAGATGTGGGATTCAGATGAAACCACCTTACATTTCCACTACAAATCAGTTCCACCTTTACATAGGCCACAGCTCACTAGACCTTCTTGGATCAGGCTTAATAGACTGGTCATTGGCTATGGTTTATTTAGCACACGCTGATCCGGCACCATTTTGGTTTGTGCATAATGCCCACAGCATGGGACTGCAAAGCTGCCCAACAAACGGCCGTCCACATTGTATAGGACTGCCCATTACGACGACGCACTGCTAGAAGGTGGATTATGAAGGTTGATTGCACTCGATCACGTGGCAATTGAGTCACCGAGTGATTCGGGTACCAATCTGTGATAGCAAACGCAGGAAAGAAGAATCATTTAAGTAAAAGCTAAGCAGCTGCACCTTGGCGGAGATGAAACACCTGCACACGTTCTCCCCGGGCGACCGCTGATCGCGCGTTTTGCGTCTCTGAACGCCGAGGGCCGAAGCTCGAAGGTGCCGCATGGTCTGCCTGCTTTCTGAACTCAGCTTCTCGATCAGAAGTCAGAGTCCAACACAGACAGACAGACGAACAAATTAAGACATGGACGGACAGACAGGTTTCCCCCTGAGGCAGGCAGGGAGGAAGTTTTATTAAAAGCATATTGATAGCCTGATCGAACACCACTGTCCCTTAGCAAAGGTAACTGGAGAAAATTTGGTGAAAAATACACAATGTACATACAATGAAATAGATTTTTAAAATATTTTTAAAGAGACCTAACTTATACACCTCCAATTACCACCTCCAATTAGCAAAGTTGGCTACATACGGTGCGACAAAAAGTTAATTACACGTACAAAAATCATGAGACTTAAATGAACTTATATCCCATTGTCAATCCATTTCTGGTTTTAGGAATTGCCCATGCACTGTCAGTCATAGGGGTTGGTTGACCATATGTTACTATGCCGGCCAGTGCATGACGGTAAAGGGGGTGCGCACGACTGCTGCATATATCACTCGCCAATTATGTTAGCCATGGTCAGGAATTGAACTTAGGAGGTGAAGAGGTTCATGATTCATGGACCAGTGACGTGTCCTAGGCGAAGCGCGTTTGCCGCTTGCTGCAGAGGTTCACTGTTTGACTCCAGCGGCTGCTCTGGTTATCACTGTGAATGTAATAACCATAACAAATATATATGCTCCGTCCACTTCCCCAAAGCACGTAAAGATTCGCCGACCTCAATCACAAGAGTAGGTTTAAGTAATTGTGTTCCGGCGTCCGGATCTAAATATGCCAAATTCGAATATGACCCGCAAATGATTCAATTGGGACCGTGCATAGCAATCATTGCCATCTACTGGTGAACTAATTCCCGAGGTCACTTGCAAATTTGACTCTCCTGGTCTCTTGAGTTCTCTCCTGGTTTTACGAAATAAACTTGAAACCACTGTGCCAGCACTCCACGTCAATCAATGTTATACTGAACTAAACATTGTATTTAAGAAAGACTTATTAAGTCTCAACGTTATTTTGACTACTGTGTCCGCATGCGAACGATAGGGATGCAACGTATTGATTGGAGTGGCACACCGGTCCCCTGGGCTCACGTCAGATGTCGCAAATGGGTTTTGATTCCTTACCCGTACCCGGCCGCACCAGGGTCGCAAATGGGTACCCGTACCCGGCCGGGTACGGGTACTCGTTCCCTACCCGTACCCGTACCCTACTCGAAATGAGTGACAAATGGTGACTCACCAGTGACTCACGGCCTACCTGTACCCGTACCCGGCCGCACCAGGGTCGCAAACGGGTACCCGTACCCGTACCCGGCCGGGTACGGGTAGCCGGGTATCGGATAGGGTACGGGTATCGGGTACCCGGTTGCGACCTCTGGCTCACGCACTGCTCACCAGCGGGGGCAGAATGGGAATCCCCAGGAATTGTACGGTCGATTTCGTTGGATTTGGATGCCATTCTCCGAGACACCTCTCTACCGGGTCGTACGGCGCTTGGAAGGAGATCCTGGCCAGGGCTTGGCTTACAAACTCCTCGTAGCTCTCCATGATGCAAACTGCCCCTGTGAATAAGCACACCACGTCATTCGTGTCAGCTATGTAAGTGACCCATGCAACCAATAAATACTTTTCTCAATAGAAACAAAATGGCCTAGGTGATCAAACTGACCCATATGAGCCAGGTAGTCGAGTCAATCAGATAACACCGTGTAACAAACAAAAAAGTTTTTTTGTTCCTGGGTAGTAAGTGCTATTTTCTAATTGCTTATGCCTCAAAAGTACAGAAAATGGCTATTATTCCCCACAAACTTTGCTTTTGTGACCAGGACAGTGATATTTTGCAATTGACCTATTTTCAGTGAGAAAACGTGTGCATTTGTGTCATTCCTATCACATAAAGTCCTGGTCACAAAAGCAAAGTTTGTGGTGAATAATAGCCATTTTCTATACTCTTGAGGCATACGCAATGAGAAAATAACACTTACTACCCAGGAACAAAAATCGTGCTACATAGTGTAATCAAAGGCACAGGGTCACCCACGTGATTTAAGTGAGCCTTGTAATTCATGCGATCAATGTGACTATGGAACACTCTAAACTAAAACTTTTTTTTTTAATCAGGTAAAGCCTACTGAGCTATGTAGCTATTTTTCAGAAGCGATCTGGCCATAAATGATAGCTCAACGAAGTGGCTTATCGAGTGCAAACGTATAGCAGGCAAATACCCTAAACGCATGTTTATAAATGTGGAGGGGAAAACCGGAAGACCCGGAGAAAAATCCACACGACCACGGGGAGACAGACACGGAAACTCAAAATATACAGCAGGCGTCAGGGTCGGGATCGAACCCACGACCTCCTGTATACCAGGCGAGATAGTTAACATCTCACCACGGAGAGACACGCAAAATATAAATATACAGCAGGCGTCAGGGTCGGGATCGAACCCACGACCTCCTGTATACCAGGCGAGGTAGTTAACATATCCTAGCCACCGTGATGATGAGAGAGACACGCAAACTCCAAATATACAGCAGGCGTCAGGGTCGGGATCGAACCCACGACCTCCTGTATACCAGGCGAGATAGTCAGTTCAAGTTCAAGTTCATTTATTCAGTATAGCCCTGTGAGCCATTCGGCTCTTGAATCGGGTGCAACCGCAACGAACAAAAAACATGAACAAGAAAACATCTTAAAGTGACTAAGTGCAAACAGAAAATCCAAGAAAAGACAGCAAAATATTGCAGAAAAAGCACCGTACTCCAACACTGTGTGCAAAAATTCCAGTGGGATGCAAGTCAACAACAACAACCACAAGACAACTTAGATTAAGGCCATCATTCTAACTCCGTACTACAACAAACAAACATGACCAAACCAAAAAACTTTTCGAAAATCACCCAAAAAAAGCCATAAAAGCAATTAAAAAGTTCACATCTCGCCACCGTGGCACCCGACTCATGTATCTCTCTGGGCTCAGGTGACACTAATGGGTCCCCAGCAAGGCTCCCCTTGTACCCACCACACACTCGCTGCCTCCTCGGGGCTTCAGGCGGCCCGGGGACCCTCTTCACGTCGTCCTGAGGCTCTCTGGCTCGTCCCGGTCGGACAGCATCGCCACCCACCCTCCTCTCTGCCCAAGCCTCAGCCTGCCAAGTCGCACTTCCACCCCCTGAATCCAGCCTCCACGTGGCAGCCACTCCGATCTCTCTCCTCTTCCCAGAGCCCTCCTCACACGAGGTCGTGAGGCAGGCGTCCCAATGGGGATCCTAAATCCTGATCCTAAATCCTGATCCTAAATCCCTACGTTTCTTGGCCAGTAAATCCTAAATCCTGCACCCATTGTCCACGACGATATCCTCCCCTTACTCTCTCCCAAACACCTGCTTCTTGCGTCTCTTCTCCTCCTCCTTGGTCCTCTCTCCCCGGGTCCCCTACCCCTGGGTCTTGGTTCCTGGACCTGAGGTCCTTTGGTCTAAATCTCGTTGTCTCTTAGCTCTGGGCAGCCACCCAAAGCAGAAGGTTTCTCTCGATTACTGATTCGCTTTCTCCCTCTGGATCTTGGCTCCCTTCGTCCTCTCTCTCTCTCTCTCTCCCTGGTTTCGTTGGTCTCGGTGCACAATTCCTCTGTATGTACGTGATGTGTGCTCAACTTCTTTCGCACCGTACGTAGCCAACCGCGCTAATCGGAGGTGGTTCTGCGTCCCTGTGTCTCAGCTCGACTCCTATCCCCTCCACTTGGTTTTATTCTCCAGCTCCCTTGTGCTGGATACTCAGGGGTCCCCTGGTCTCAGATCCTGGGTCCCCCCCCCCCGTTGATTCCCTTCCTCTCGCCCTGTCTCTCCCTGTCTCTCTCCCTTCCACTATCCCTGTCTCTCTCTCCCTGTCTCTCTCTCTCTGCCACTCCCCCACTCCACTCCCCACTCCCCTGTATCTCTGCCACTCTCCCGTGCACCCTTCCCTGTCCACTCTCCCACTCCCCTGTCCACTCTCCCCGTCTCTCTCCCACTCCCCTGTCCACTCTCCCACTCCCCTGTCCACTCTCCCCGTCTCTCTCCCACTCCCCTGTCCACTCTCCCACTCCCCTGTCTCCGTCTCTCACTGCCACTCTCCCCGTCTCTCTCCCACTCCCCTGTCTCTCCACGTCTCTCTCTCTCTCTGCCACTCTCCCCTGTCCACTCTCCCACTCCCCTGTCTCTCCACGTCTCTCTCTCTCTCTGCCACTCTCCCCTGTCTCTCTCCCACTCCCCTGTCTCTCCACGTCTCTCTCTGCCACTCTCCCCTGTCTCTCTCCCACTCCCCTGTCTCTCTCCCACTCCCCTGTCTCTCTCCCACTCCCCTGTCTCTCTCCCACTCCCCTGTCTCTCTCCCACTCCCCTGTCTCTCTCCCACTCCCCTGTCTCTCTCCCACTCCCCTGTCTCTCCACGTCTCTCTCTCTCTGCCACTCTCTCTCCGTCCCCCTCTCCCCCCGTCTCTCGGCTGGCGTCTCGTTGCCACGGCAACGCCGTTTGGGTTGCCCGGGCGGGTGACGTCACCTCGCCTCGCGAGCGGCCGTTGGCCCCGGGTCCATGGACCAATGGGAGCGCGCGTTGCTCACAAGTCAGACGCCCGCGGGGCGGGGGGGCTGGTGCCGGTTGGTCACGTGGGGGGGGGCTGGTGCCGGTTGGTCACGTGGGGGAGGCTGGTGCCGGTTGGTCACGTGGGGGGGGGGGGGACGCGCGCCACTTCGCGAGGGGCTCTTCGACGAGGGGCGAGCTGTGAAACGTGGCCGTGGTCCGGTATTCGAACTCAGGCATTCAAAGCGCCAGCGCCAATATAACCACAGCACCTACCCAACTACCCCGCCCCGTCAATCACGAATCGATTCTTTTTCTACAACGAAATTTGTACGCTTCGATTTAACTGCTCCGCTCCTCACGGGAATCGATTCCGTTCTAATTTAATTTCGGAATCGATTACACCTTTCTACGCTCACGCCCCACGCAAGAATCGATTCTGTGGTTATCGCGGGATGATCGCGATTCGATTCCGTCGTTCACGGCACGGAGCGGCAGCTGCTGCTGGCCCGTCGATGCGCTCCGGCGCCGGTGAGGAAGAGGAAGAAGAATAATAATAGTTTGCGTGGCGCTCACGGGTGGTATTTGACCATACTTCACCACGCCGGTCAGTGTGCCGCTGCGGGTTATTTCCCGACCAAACTACCAACGACGCGCCGGTTCGCGCCCGTTGTGGGAAGGCGGAATGACAAAACAACAATTACATCAAATCTTGATTCGAAGCTTTCGTGACCTGCAGGGATCCATACTCTTTGGCTCTTTCTGTAAAGTCTATTGACAACCGACCGGATCTTTAAAAACAAACCCCACCAAACCTTCAAATTCTAATCGAAGTCGACACAATTCCATCGATCCACTTGATCGATGCACTCCCCGATGATGGTGGTGACGATGTCTCTGATCTGGAATTCGCTGTGGCTCCTTCTGTTTCTGCTGCCTCTGATGCTGCTGATTCTGTCGCGAAGTCGAAGCAATCGGACCTTGTTAGCCGGCGGTGGTGGGGGTGCCGCGGCCGCCTTTGTATCTCTGTGCGGCTTCCAGAGCTTGTGCTTTGAGCCCGTGTGCCGCCAGAGAGCCCTGCAGGTGCTGAGGCCACGGTCGGGCCCAGGGCCCCATGGCCATGCCGTGGCCCATCGCGCTGGAGGCCACGACGCACCGGAGAACACCATGGCAGCAGTGCGCAAGGTGACAGCAATGTGTACTTACTCGACTACGGCCACAGTAACGTCGAGTTTTTGGGACGATGGGCCACCACTGGTGCGGCGAAATGTTAACTACGTCGCCTGGTATGCGGGAGGTCGTGGAGTTTATGGTTTGTTGGCAAGGGCGCTTGTGAAGAAGCTATAGAGTTTCGTGGGCCTCACCTGGTCAGATATATATATAGAGTCTATACCGTGGTCGAATGAGACGTATGCCCAAAAGTTGAGTGTCATTGCCGGTTTGTGACAGCAGAAGTAGTGTGCCGTGATACTTTCCCAAAGGCTACATTCTAAAACTGAATCGTAAATCCTAAACTTTAAACCACCTACCCATAACCCGAAAACTTAAACCCTGGCCATTAAATCATAACCCTCCTAAATACTGACTCTTACACCCTAACTCCAAAAACTGTACAGTCATACCTCGGTATACGACCGCTTTGGAATACGTCGAATTTGGTATACGGCGTCTGTTGACGAGAAAAAACATGTCTTGGGATACGACGTCTTGCTTGGGATGCGACGCGCTTGCTAGAACTTGTATGGGTCTGGATGAGTCTCCGCGTACACAATACTGTTACGGCTCCAACAAGCCGTAACAGTATTGTGTGGAATGACCAGATAATGTCACACTTCAGGAACATTCATAGGAGAAGGCAAAAACAAACTTCAATGGACAGGTTTTTAGTAAAACTCAAACCTGGTGAGCCTCAACCAGGTCCAAGTCAAGAAAAAAGACATAATTTATGTATGCATTTTAGTAATAAATAGTGTCTAGATTATTTTATACAACCCCATTAATGTATAATATGCCATATAAAATATAATTCCTTATAATCTGGAATGGATTATTTTCTTTCCCTTTATTTCTTATGGGAAAAATTCGTTTGGTATACGTCATGTTCGGTATAAGTCCTACCTTCTGGAACGAATTAAAGACGTATATTGAGGTCTCACTGTAACTCGAAGCCCTAACCAAAAACCCTCTTAAAGTTTTAATCGAAGCCCTGAACCCTAACCTCAGATAAGGGCTATGTAGCTCTTTTGCAGAAGCGACCTGGCCACAAATTATAGCTCAACAAATTGGCCTACCACGTGGATATTTATAACAGCCGCATGTTGACTATAAATCTACGATTAGCACGGCTGGCGTTGTACCGTGCGAAAGAAGTTCAACATAACACGTAGGTTTCGATTTAAAGCTTTCGTGACTACAGGGATTCATCTTCTTGGTTCCTTCGGTAAAGTCACGTAGAAGGGAAGTAATAAAATAATAAAAATAAAACATAATAAAATTATTCTCGTGAGAAGATAGCACATAGGCTTTCGCGACCAATATTATTCATAATATACACATTTATAAATAACGCGATCTGACCCAAAAACCTATATTATGAAGTTCAACATACATGCATGCCAGCTTTCAATAGGGCTTACTTATATGCTCTCACATCCATGCACCCCATCTACATCAACCCACACTAAGGTTGGTGACTTGCAGTCACAGACACTGAAGGTTAGTACACTGGACTTGCAATTCACAAGTCATCGGTTTGATCTCCCGGTGTGATAGTTGAAACCGGAGCCTTTTTTAAACTCCCCCCACCTCTGCACTCAGTGCTATAAATGGCTACACAGCTGGATTGGCAGGTCGCGCGTGATGGGGTAAAAAGTGGATACTCTCTTCCAACATGACTGGCCAGTGTGGAAGAGTAGGCCTTAATACATCTCAGAGGGGCTCCTCAGAGTACCCTCTTGTGGAGGTTTATCCTCAAGCAGTGGCATGAGCAAGCAATTGCGGTGCTGCACCTCTATCTTAACGCCCTTCAGCACATATAACATAGTGGTGGGGATGCGGATGGGCTCGCCACAGAGGTCGCAACCGGGTACCCGATACCCGTACCCTACCCGGCTACCCGTACCCGGCTACCCGTACCCGGCCGGGTAGCCGTTTGCGACCCTGGTGCGGCCGGGTACGGGTAAGCCGTGAGTCACTGGTGAGTAACCGTTTGTCACTCATTTCGGGTAGGGTACGGGTAGGGAACGGGTACCCGTACCCGGAGCCGGGTACGGGTACCTATTTGCGACCCTGGTGCGGCCGGGTACGGGTAAGGAATCAAAACCCGTTTGCGACCTCTGGCTCGCCAACAGCACTTGCCCCAACAACCTGCCGGGCTATACGAGGATCTTTGTATTTAGTGTGCGATAACAAAGGTCAATAGGGGCTCTACTGCCATCTCCTGGTATTTTTCTGGCCAGGTGACTAAGAAGTCAGAGTGCTGAATTGGCATCTCTGTGTTCTTGGGTTTAAATCCAGGCAGCCGCCTATGATTAAAGCAGATTCATCATAATTGCGTGAGTTCACGGTCTCAGCTCGGTTACCATTGAATCCCCAAAAAATTATCAGATTAAATTTGATGATGCACGTTTCTAAAAAATATCCACATGTTTGCAACATCGGACATCGTGCCAATCAACACGTGGTACAACCCGAAAACATCGGAGAGCCATCAGCTATTTTTTGTTGTAATAATCAGACCGAAACCTGCTTGGTTTGCGATATCCGATGAACTCATTACATCCCCAAGTGAGTATCGAACATATGTGATCGCTGAATTTCCACCCGCACGCGCGAGCAGGCAGCCACCAATGGTGCGCATGCTGTGGAGCTGGACATGGCGTTCACGGAGGACGGAGTGGCAGTGCTCATGCACGACGACACGGTGGACCGCACCACAGATGGCAGCGGCCCCATCGGTGCCATCTCACTCGCCAACCTGCGTAACCTCGACGCCTCCGCCTACCATCGCCTCCGGTCAGTGGGCGCACCGCCCTGCAGCGCGTGCAGCTGCTCTCCCCTGGTATGGGGGATGAGTGGTGATAAAACAGTCCAGGGAAGAAATTGATACAAAGAGGGGTGTCCAAGCCCCATGTTCCCATCAAACTCAATGTAGCTTTGCTGCTGATGTTGCGTGGGATGCTGCTGCCACTGATGGTGATGCTTCTGGTGATAATGCTCTGATTCTGATAAGCACGATGATGCTGTGGCATGAGCGGTGGTAAAATATCAAAAGGGAAGCAAAGAAAATCCAAATATGATCCTCAATCATACAATCTGCAGGCCCTGATCAAACTGGGTGTCGCCCTGCGTGCTTGACGGGATCCGTACGCTTGTGCCTTGCATCGTTCCGCAGCGAGCAGTTCAAGGGCGAGAGGGTGCCCACCTTGGAGGAGGCCGTGGACGAGTGTCTCCAGTTGAACCTCATCATTTACTTCGATGTGAAGGGCGACGCCGAAAAGGTTTCTGTATGCCTCCATCCACCTTGGCACATAGGGCACACTCTGTCCCGCTGCATGCCTTGTGGCGGGTCTTACTTCGCCGAACTGAAGCATTTAAAGGTTACCAAGTTGCAATCCCGCGTGCAGTTTTGTATAGATTCAAAGGCACGGCAAACAACAGACAAGCGGAAAGGCAGCCAGTACCAGTGCTATTGATTGCCCAAGCTCTATGGCCCTATATCGGGATGTTTGGCCACGTGCGAGGAAACCGGAGCACCTGGAGACAACCCACGAATGCGAGGGGCAACACTTCATCCCATGCAGATGAAACATGGAGTCCATATTTACCATACTGCCTTCTCATGGGGAGCCAGGGTATATGGCATATTGACCTCCACGGGAAGGGAGTTTCACAGCATTTGTGCAATCCACAGTTGTGTGCCACGATGATGATTATTTTGTATTTTATAGATTTGTGTTAAGCTAGCGGCCATATCTGGCAGAGAGAGTCCTTGCCTATAAACATCGGGCAAATTACTAGCATGGGTTCAAGCAAGCCTGACCCTGTCGAAGAGACACTGAATATCAAATCTAGTCCAGAGTTTGCTTCTATTGAACCATGCCTAGAAGGCTTTGTGTATGAAGAGTTATATATAAAAGAAAAACTTAGATTTCTTTACGTGGTTCTGCAGAGATAAATATGGGAAGGAGGCATTTTTACAGGCTTTTATTTAACTCACTCCGTCTGTCGTATTCTCAAAAAATCTTGTAACTCAATTTTTACCCACTTCCCAATCTGCTATCGACTGCAAACTTGATATACCTATGTCATACTGATGACAAGATTATATTCTATCATAAAAAATCCAAAACATATTTTTTCACATTTTACACGCTTTCATTTAACTCACTCTGTCTGTTGTCGTATCCTCAAATCTTGTAACTCAATTTAAACCATCTTCCCAATGTCATGTCGACTTCGAATTAGATCATATCACATGTTGTCCTAATATGTTTTCCATCTCCGAGTGAAATAAAAGTGTACTCCCGACTTACTATAACTAATCGGGTCACATGCCCTGGTCGTGGATGGCTCTTGGCCCCAGGTTGAGGAGGCAACAAATGTCTATTTCGAGTTTTTCCATCTCGGCCGGATTCATCGACGATTGGGATGCGCCGTCAAGGAGATTATGCTCGCCCTAATGGCTGTTGTCTTCTCTTGTCGCAGTCGTCTACGGTGCTCAAACAAATCTACGAATCCCGGCCGGAACTCTACAACAAGAGCATCGTCTGCTCCTTTGACCCCAGGGTCATTTATATGGTGAGAATAATATTTTAGTTTTATATACCATAGGGCATGCAAATTGCATCTCACTCTAGCTCAGCAACCACAGACAAGCAGCCAGACAGAGAGTCGGCACTACCAACAATTGCAAAGCTCTGCAGTCCTCTGTATATTAAGATGTTTTCAGCTAATTTAGTGTTTTACCATGTGGAATTAAACTTGAGCGCCTGGGCAAAACCTATGTGTGTGAGGGGGAAACACTATCTCACACAGAAGGAACAGATGATATTAGTCTGCACATTGCTGTGCAGCTTTCTCTTGGCAGCCAGGGTATGGCACCACCTCGACCCCCACAGAAATTGAATTTGGCAACATTTGTGAGGTCCAACAACCTTCACCTCCACAGTGCTGGATTACAGGCCACGTGCATAGCCACGACCGCCCATAATCGTAACATTACTCTTTATTTACACAGGAAAGCCTCGGTGTGTCTAAATACTTATTACACGCTTTGATTTAACTCACTTGGTCTGTAGTATCCTCAAAAAAGAAATCTTGTAACTCAATTTTTACACACTTCCCAATGTGCTATTGACTGCAAACTTGGCATAGGTATGTCATATTGATGACAACACGATATTCTATCATAAAAAATCCAAAACATATATTTTAAAACTTTTTACACGCTTTTAATTAACTTACTGTATGTGTTGTCGTATCCAAAAATCTTGGAATTCAATTTCAACCGTATTCCCAATGTCGTATCGACTGCAAACTTGGTATAGGTATGTCATACTGATGACAATACTATATTCTATCATTGAAAATTACAAATAAATATTTTTTAACCATTTTTTTTACGGCTCTAATTGTCCGCGCTCAACTCACGTTGGCTGTAAATCACCACGGTCCCTTACGTCACGGCAAGCCTCGGGGAGCCACGCCGAGGGGCGGGGATGTGGAAGGAGGGGAGGGGCGATGGGGCAAGGGAGCAGGGGGAGGGGCAGCTCGGATAGTACATTTAATTAAAGCGTGTTTAAAAAAAAAAGTATAAAAAAAAAAATTAAGGACGTTCCTGCTGACTGTTTGGCCAATTCCATTAATGGGTGGTTTTCATCTGGGCCGAATCCAGAGAACTCTGGGTCCAAACAACCTTATTTGACAATGGAATGCAATTAACAGGCAGCTCTTATCTTGAAGATAGTGCTTGACTCATTTAAGGGTTTTTTATGTTGTTGACAAGTTTCAAACTCGTGTCAGACATTCCTGGACACCTAGCCTTGTATGCATCTACAAGATAAAGAGCTGTTTAATTATTGGTTTACAATTTTCTCTATTGGATATCTAATTGCAGTGCAGTTGAGAGCTGCGTGTCAGGCAAGGCTCACTTGCTATCAAGGTCTGGCTTATGTTGTGTACGTCCGTGCACGGTGGCCGGCTGGTTTAGCTCACTTTAATCTGAGCCAGTTTGTGCTTTACCAGGAACATCTGGTTGATTTGCAAACATTGGCCTACAGCAATGAAGGATCTCCGTTACAGCCCCCCGTCAACCTTTGCTCAGCCGGTGGTCACTCATTCAACTCTGCTGCCACCTCAGCCTATCCCTGACCCTCCACGCCTCTGTTAAAAGTCCAAACTCAAGAACCTTCCTTTATTCCTTTGCCTATGACTGCCACTTTCGTTATATTAAACATCCCCACTGTTTTTGTGCATCATCTTGGGATGCGGTCGCATTTAGATGCTGTATAATAATTGTATTTTGTTGAATGAAATGACCTCAACACATTGTAGTGGAATAGATGTGTTTTCAGTTGTTAGGCAGTGTTGCAATACAATACAATTTGCATTTATGGTTCAATCATCATGTAGATATGTCAATTTGTTTAAGATAACTCTCCACCACTCGACAGAAGCAATCAAATCATGTTGTCTCATGGGCAAATATACAAATAAAAATTTCAAATTTTTGCTTGGACCTTTCATCACTCCAGTTTGCTGAAACCCCATATCAATTGGCATGTTTTTTTTAATTCAACAGCTTGATTTGATTGGCTCTTGGGTAGTGGAGGGTTATATTTATGATGTTGACATCCCTGCACGATGATCTAACGCAAAATAATGTAATTACGGATCACAGTATTGGTCGTGAAAAGCCTACGTGTAAGGTTAATTGGCATTTATATGGCATCTGAATGCAACTTTATCTCAGGATTCTCGAAGAAACAGTGAGGCATGGGCATCGTGGACAAAGGAGAACTTCGTTTAATAATATAATACTAATAAGGAAAGACAGGCAGCAAATAAGTTTTGAACCTGTACTAGAATATGGAAGGGAATTCCAGGCAACAGGGGGAAAAAGAGTGATCTCCCACTCAGCAAACATCGACCATTGTGATTTATTATCATATGTGCTTACAAACCACTGTGCTATTTTATTTTGAACAACCAGGGAGGAGCAAATGTTGTTGCGCCGCATAAAAGAGGATGAAGAGATGGCTCTGAGAGATTGCGACTGGAACGGTTTGGAAACGAAGAGACGAGGAGGAAGAAGGCAAGAGTGGGGGTGGCACCCATCTCAGACAAGATGAAGGAAGTTTTGACCCAGTTTGGCTCGGCGGACGTGCGTAAGAAAAGAGGAAGACCACATCGGAAGAAATGCCATGAAGGTTTGAAGCACATGGGAGGGGGGTAGATCGAGGCAGACCGAGGGAAAGGAAGTTTTCTTAAGTGATGAACCATGGATTGGATTTGGAGTTGATTTCCCAGGACAGGAATTAGTGGAAAAAGAGGAAGCAGGAAGGCGGTAGAGCCCACATGAATGGTGAAAACGCCAGGAAGAAGAAGACGACAATATCGCCAAGACTTTCTCCCACTGCATCCAATCGACCCCTCCTGCCCTCTGCTATTCTCCTGCACGAGTTTTGTTTGTAAAATGAACAACCGCTCCTCATTTGGACCTTGGTTGACACCCTATCACGATTGCATCGGCCTTGACTCCTCCACTGCTGAACGAAGGCCTGCCGGAGCGAGCTGTTTCCATCTCTCATTGCCTCAGGATGTAACATTCCATCTAGAACCTGCACATGAGCTGGCGTCCATTCTTCCGGGCGTGTTTTCACCCCTTTGGCTGCCACTCCATCGTTGGTCTCAACCACTGGTCATCGTCTTGTATAGCCATGGTGTCTTTCCCAAGCACGTGTACTTTTCTTGAGCCAATAATAATGCCTCTACATTGCACGTGTTCTCTTATCCACATGTTCTTCTTCGCGTCTCTTGATGTAATTCCAAGCCTGCGCCTCCCCATATCTCTTTACGCACTTTTATACTTTTGTTCCACTTTACTTGGTCACCATACATGTTTTCTGATCCACACGTCTGTCACAAGTAGCTCAGGCGTTGTCGATGGGAGTAAAGCAAACCACCCCCATATGTTCTGTACGCCACTGGTCTCTTCCAAGCAATTTTTTTTGTTCCACTTTTTTTCTTCAGCACGCGTGTCTCCGATTCCGTACGCACGCCAGATGCGGCAGAAGGACGTCGCGGTGGTGACGGCGCTGACGCACCGGCCGTGGGTCTTGAGTCACACGCTGGAGGGAGAGCGCTTGCACCGGGGATGGTTTCGCCACCGCTGGGAGATGCTGATGGACGTGGCGCTGGCTTGGAGTCTCAACAACTTCCTGTGGAAACTGTGCGGCATCTCCGCCGTCCTCATGCACAAGAGCGTCATATCGCAGTGAGTGCCTCCGCCAATTTTTTGTTTCACGTTTTGTGCTTTTACGCTTGTAAAAACCAAAATGCAAACGTGCCTACATAGGAAAATCAGTTTATTCGTGTATAGTAGGGACTGCAACATGCAGATGTCATATCCGCTGTGCTTGACTGCCTAGTTAATTCTGCAGTATATTGCAGTAAAAGTGAGAAACTAAGTGCCGGTGCGAATGGCTCGCTTGTTAGTCGTACATAGTCAGAGTGAAAGAGAGAAACTATGTACATATTTTGAACTTCTTTCGCACCATACGTAGCCATCCGTGCTAATTGGAGGTGCGGGAAACTGCTAGCACCAGTCTGCATGGATGTTGTGTTAGTCCTACATTGTCGCAGCTCAAGGGATAAACTGCCAGTGCCCGGTGTGCGTGGCTGCCTTTTCAATCCTATCGCACATCTTGGTATTTATTTACAACTGCTTTTTGTATTTAGTTTGTTGTCCTGCCCTGCACCTCCGATTCGGGCCGCCGCAATGGCGAGATGTTAATTGCCTCGCCTTAATTACAGGAGGTCGTGGGTTATATCCCAACTCTGACGCCTATATATTTGGAGTTTGCATGTCTCTTCTCGTGGTCGCGTGGATTTTTCTCCGGGTCCTCCGGTTTTTCCCTCCACATTTAGCAACATGCGTTTAGAGTGTTTGGCTGCTATAAATTTCCACATGATGAGCCACTTCGTTGAGCTATCATTTGTGGCCAAGTCGCTGGTAAAAAATAGTTATACAGCTCAATGGACCTTACCTGGTAAATGAAATAGTTAAAAAAAGTTGTAGATCGCATGGTTGTTTACGTACGGTGCAAAAGACCTTCAACATCCATGTATACACGTGTCAACACTAGTTGTCTCGGCACGTGTCTGCTGCAGGGACTACGTGCGGTGGTGGCAAGAGCGCAATGTGAGTGTGGTGGGCTGGACCGTGAACACAGCCGTGGAGAAGGCTTACTACGAGAATGTTCTCGACTGCAACTACATCACCGACAGCCTCGAGGGCGACGCGTGATGCGAAACTCCGACCCCCACCCCCCCCCCCAAATCCTTCCCCACCAAACACGTCTATTCATGGACTTTTGAGGCTTCCCATATCTCGAATTGAATATGTAATTTGCCAAGCTGGTGATAGAAGGGCAGGGCTGCGGTGTTTTTATTTTAATGGCAAGTAATTTGTTAATCCTAACTTGCTCGCTGTGTAACTTGGGTACAAGTATGCGAACGACAGCCGTTTTAATGGCTGCAGTTGCTTTTGCTATCCAGTAGGGATCGTGTATGTTTTAAAACTTTTAACTCAAAACGGTTTTATCAGACAGGGCAGTTATTGATTTAACATGGATTGAACACAACGTAAAGAAAACGTTTTCTGTGATAGTTTTAACGGACTTCAGTTTTATGGAGACATTTGACAGCGATTCACATTCTGCCAAAACGTTTCCTTCGCCCGTCAGATCTTTGGATAAAAGGTGCACGTGTTTCAGTCACCTACAATCGGGTGAAACGCCAGGATGGTTGTTTCAGCCGTTGGAATAAGCAATTAAATCCTGAACGTTGAATAATAATTTTACATCACACGGAAAGGGCACCACAAAGGATCTTTGATCTTAAACTCAAATTCACACCATCCGGCAAAAACAAAGTTTTCTTAAGTGGTGCCTACAAAAAAAAAGTGTCCAGTTCCCGCTTCTCTTACGAAGGACGCCCAATGTTGCCGTCCGATGTGTTTTCGCGGTTGGACCGTGTGTATTTTGGCATGATGTCCGACGTTTCGCTCTGCGTGCTTCGAGCTTCAGCAGCTGCTTAACTAAAGAACCCAAACACAACCGCGACCGCTTACGCTGTGGAACTCCTCAACCTATGGTGAATGTTGCGTAACACCGAGGTGCGTCTTCTAAACATCAAAACTCGTTACGAATTGGGACGCTTTGTGTAATCCCGTGTGGGAGGAGTCGGAGTGGCTCCGATTGTTTTGCGTATTTTACAACGTTGTCATTGCAAGTGTGTGGGTTTTGATTATCGCCCGCGAATATTTGTTTTAATTGTTAAGTAATTTTGTTATCGAAGTCGTTTTTCTCAGGTTGCGGCAGTCATTGCGTAGTAGTCACTTGAGAACCACTGCTACGTGACTGAGTATAACAGCTTGGGCCGTTGAGTTATACATATCTCATCATCATCGGAGCAGTATTTACAGGGATGAATTGGGTTTAGTATATACATTGATGCATATGCCCATGCCTAGCTCCTTATAGCAAAAATAACAAAAGCACGCAACTGTAATTTTATCATATGCTATGTGGTGGTATGCATGATTTTATGACTGTTTAGATTTACAGTGGAATACTTTACTGAACTACTGAAGGGAATGAAACAAGTGCAATTAAATTACTTTAAACAACATTTTTAAAATGCACTTTGTAAAACTCTTAACTTTAGGGATATTACACAACGCTTGTTGACATGGTCTGTACGGCTAAAGGGGTGGATGGGGCTTCAAGGTGCTTTGCAGAACGAAAAGCGTCACTTTTACACAACTGTCGACTCTACTTAGCAATTGCCGAGATGAAAATCAATGGTGGCGGAAAAACCCACTTATCAAAACCAGTTTATTAAAAAATACAAAATATACAATGTTGTGAACCCACATTATGTTCTGGCTCAGTGATGTTCAAGAGGCGGCAATCCAAGAGCACACAGGTGATAGGTAAGGTCCACGTTTCACATCTTCTCAGGATAAGTCTGCTTGGCAGGGCCACATCTGCGCGCTGTAGTTTTTCTTGTCTGCAACAGGGGGTGGGGGGGGTGTTTGAAAGGAAGCTGAGCACAGCTATTATTTATTTAATTTCCCAGTCGCACAAGAACGGGTAACATGACCCAAGGAATTCCTCCCACCGCACTCCGCACTGGTGATGGATGGGAGCAAAATATGTGGATGAACAGGATTTTTTTTCAGCACAGTGCACGGTTGGACCAGGTAGTGAGGTAAATGGTTGGTTATTAGGTGGACGAATGGGTAGGTTATTGAGTTGCTTTGTACCTATGTGGTTAGTTAACTAAATGGCTGAGTGACTAAGTGGCTGGGTGATTCGTTGACTGGCTGAGTCACGAGTTGGCTGGGTGACAAGGTGGCCACACAGCCGCACCTTTTCGTCGACTCCGCTTGCTCTGCCTCGCCGCCTTCACTTCCATCTGCCGCTTGTGCTCCTCCCGCAGTTTCTCCAGAACGAATATCTTGTCCTGGCCCTCCTGGCCATGCCACACACACACACACAACCGCCTCTCGTTTCACAACAACCATTATAACAGTGATGACACTACAGCAGCGTGTTTATCCAGCAAAGCCTCCGAGTCTTGCACAGGAGTGTCCTGCCACATTATGATCACACTTTCAACGTGAGTGGCGTCTAAATGGCATCGTGACTCGAGAACGCACAACAATAAAGCCGTGCCGAAAAACATTGCAAAATGTTTTATTGAAATCCTAAACGGGTTCTAATTTTATATTCGTAGTCTGGCTACCACTCTTGTCATTATCTTCCCTTCAAGCCTTGACACGTCCATCCCAAGCTTCCCGATGTCAACTCGACTGCAAATGAGTGAACATTAGCAGCATTGGGCAGACAAAAGTGGCCAGCCGTGGTGACGATGGCCATTTATAGAATGGCTGCTCTAAATTTCTACGTGATAAGCCACTTTGTTGAGCTTTCATATGTGGCCAGGTCGCTTCTGAAAACGAGCTATGTAACTCAGTGGGGCTTATTTGGTAAAATTAAAAGTTTAGTTCGTTCCATGCTGGCCTTAATAGGTGCTCGCTAACAGCACTGGCACTACACTCTGATAGGCTATGGTGGGATAGTCGTGTGTGTTATTACGCACGTGCTCAATGCGCGCTTGCAGCAGATCAATCACGTGCCTCTGCGCAGCCAAAATCTGCACGTTGATGTAGATGATTAATCTGATGGTACACACACAAACACAAGTGAGGTTCGTGAGCACCTATAAAGGACACCGGCACACAGACAAACAAACAAACATATCCCCCGTGTAGCCTTAACAGACTGGAGGACAAGTGCTGTTAGCGAGCACCTATGAAGGCTGGCACGGCACACGAGGTGGGTGGCCAGCACCACTCCCAGGCTGCCTTCGTCTCCCAAGTGGCGATGTTTACACACTGCACCAGGTACTCATTTGAAGGCTGAGTCGACCTAGGGGAGGCCCAGGAGCGATTCAGATATTCGGCACCAGTGTTGGCCATTGGTGGGAATCAAACCCGGGTTGCAGAGTTCCTATCACAGTTCTAATAACTGCACTCCTGCTTCCCCAAATACGACAACAGCCACCATTCGCCACTTAAAGTGGCAGCCACGGGCACTTGTGCCAGGCCAGGTGCACTCTACTCGCAAAGACAAAGATCCCCTATATAGCCTCAGCAGACTGTTGGGGAAAGTGTTGTTAACAACAAGCACCTCTGAAGGCCGGCACGGCACATGAGGGGGTGAGAGGCCAGCACCACGCCCAGCGGCCTTTGTCTACCAAGTGGCGATGTTTACACGCCACACCAGGCTGAGTCGACCTAGGGGAGGCTCAGAACCGGTTCAGACATGGGAGACACGGACGCACACAGATGCAGCGCGCTCTCACAGCACGAGGCTTGTTGCCGCGAAGAAGAAGATTGGGCTCTCGACGAGGTTGTGGTAGATCCAGGCGATCGCCGCCGAGCCGAAGGGGAGCGCCGCGGCCCAGCGCCGCACGGCGTCGTACGCCAGCGGGAGCCCGCGGAACGGCCCGCACCCCGGAGAAGGTTCACGCCTGCGGGGGGGGGGAGACGGCGCACATGGCGAGACGGCAGAAGAGATGTGGGCAAGGTGGAAGAGACGGAGAGGAGGCACGGGGGAGAGGAGACGGAGAGGAGACACCTCCGATTAGCACTTGGCTAGAAATGGTACGAAAGATGTTCAACATGTATATCTTAAAGAAAACTGGAAATTTTCATATTTTTTCACCAGAAAAAAATCAACATGTCCGTAGTTATTGGACAAAAACTGGCAGCCATTATTTATTTTCTTTGGAATTGACTTTTTTAATGTCTGAAATACAATTTTCTATTAGAATTCTAAGTGTTGGCAGGACAGCCTCCCGCCTCGCAGGACTCCCCTTTCAAAACTAATTTTGATCATCTTCTTGGCGCGGCCATCCTCGTTACACGTCGCCTTGTATCGTTTTCGAGCGAGCGGGGCGAACTCACGTCCACATGGTGACCGCCACCACCGCCACGACGCTGAAGAACGACGGGAAAAAGAGCAGGAGCAGGAAGATGGTGGACATCTGAGAGGCACGCCATGGTTTGGTGGGCGGTTGGCAGTTGAGGTAGAGGCTTCTCTGCGTGGGGAGTGGGGGTGGGGGTCAAACATTCATTCCAACACCCAGGATATTGGTGGTGCCGGCTCAGCACCACCCTGACCTGTGGGCCGCCCAGCCTCCGCATAGCGCGACGGTGATGAGATGTTAACTGCCTCGCCTGGTATACAAGAGGTCGTGGGGTCGATGCCGACCCTAACGCCTATATAGTTGGAGTTTGCGTGTCTTTCTCCCTGTGGATTTTTCTCTGGGCTCCTCTGGTTTTCACTCCACATTCAGAAAAATGCTTTAAAGAGTATTTGGCTACTATACATTTCCACGTGATAAGCCGCTTTGTTGAGCTATCATTTGTGGCCAGGTCGCTTCTGAGAAAGAGCTAAACAGCTCAGTAGGACCTTACCTGGTAAAATACAAAATTGTTTAGTTTATAGTTTTAAAACCTCCAGAGCTGTCGCAGCGAGCCTGTGTACATGGAAATCCCCCTCGCTCCACAGCCCTCACCCGTTTGACATAGAAGAGGATGATCAGCTTGATCAGCTGCACCAGCGGCAGCAGGGGAGCGAAGAAGATGCCGAGCCTAGACGAAAGGGTTCGCGACGAAGGTCAGGTCTCTGCCGAGGTCACCGTTAAGAGGCGATGGTGATAATTGTGGTGGCGGCGGTAGTGAAAATGGCGACACGATCAATCAGGCAATCACGATCATAATCACCAACTTTACTCTTGGCATTTATGTATCCACCGTTGGGATGAATTCCTCATGATTATCACCACATTTAGCCATTTTCTGCACACTGCTAGATTAAGGCGTCATCCTTGTGTGACGGAGTTGTCAACGCCTAAAGGGTGAGCGACTCAACCGGCGCTGCACACACCACGCTTCATCGAGGCACACCGGAATCACGGAGCGATAGCGAGAGCAGGCGACTTGCTAAAGGATGATCTTGATAGCAGTGAGTGGTCCAGGGGTATTATTCTGCAACCAGGTATTTTAGATGTAAAAAAATAAACAGTGGAGGTTCGAGCGTGAAAGTTACCACAAGGCGGACCCTGCGCCTCACCTCGTTTGCCTACTGGGTCGACTGTTCCTGAACCAGCTGAATATAAGACACTGGATACACACAAACACACACAAAGTATAAAGGTCCCCTGTATTATCTTTAACAGACTGTTGGGGCAAGTGCTATGAGCCCAGAACCTACGAACGCCCGCACAGCGCACGAGGGGGCGGTGATAGGGACGTATCATGCCCGGCCGTCTTTGTCTTCCCAGTGTCGATTCTTTACACACCGCACCAGGTGCTCAATGTACAGAGACACGAGAGCGTCGGGGGGTGACATGAACCACCCCCCTCTGCCGTGACACCGACTCCACCCCCCCTGTTTGAACGACGCCGTTATCAACGTCTGCGGAAGGGGGTCTCTGGTGGGTGGGTGGGAGTTGGGTTCGAACCACGCGAGCGTTTGTCCGTAGATGAGGTCGAGCACGTTCCTCGCGATGTCAAACTCGGGCTTGTGCGACCCTTGCTGCTCCAGCTCGGACGAAGTCTTCCCCCTACATGACGACGATGACGATGACGACGACAGAAGCAACCTGTGGGACGCAGGGAGCAGAAGAGGGTAATGGACAACGAGCGCATGCACGGAACTGCGCACGCGGTACCGCTGTGGTAAACGCGCACGGGAACGCGAGACTGGGTGTGAACGGATAGCATCCAATTTTTTTCACGTATGTATGTTGAACTTCTTTTCGCACCGTACGTAGCCAACCATGCTAATCAGAGGTGCGTGGGAAGCATCATAAACTAAACACAAAAAAACTGTTCTAAAGGGGGGTCTCGGCAGCGAGATGTTAACTCTCTTGTCTGGTATGCAGGAGGTTGCGAGTACACAATCCTGATCCTGACACCTGTGTATTTGGAGTTTGCATGTCTCTCTCCCCGTGGTCGCATGTTTTTTTTTTTATCCGGGTCCTCTGGTTTTTCTCTCCACATTTAGAAACATCGCGCGTTTAGAGTATTTGGCTGCTGTAAATTTCCACGTGACAAGCCACTTTGTTGAGCTATTATTTTCTACACAGCTCAGTGGGCCTTACCTAGTAAAATCTTTTTTTTGTTTGTTTAATGGTTTAGTGGTCAGACAATGGGAGGGAGGAATGTGTCCCCCACATGAACAGCCATGCCCCCCCCCCACCCCACCCCTCACATGCCCACCGTGTGCCCCCCATAACAGCTTCTCTGAATGGTGACTCTAAAGCAGTGGTTCCAAACCTTCACTGCAGCATCACGTCCCTTTGGTTCTCAATCGTAAAAAAATGTTAGAATGTTAATAAATACACAGGGCTTGATGAAACAACGTAAGTTGTACTTACGTGCCCGTGTTTAATTCGTGTTTCGATGATTTACCGTCTAAAAAAAATCTGATATGTCTCGCACCACCAGGAGGTGCGTACACGCCAGGTTTAGAACCATTGATCTAAGTGGAGGACTACCAGTTGACTTCAACAATTACCTGGTGCGGTCTGCAAACATCACCACTGGGGAGACAAAGGCGGCCGGGCATGGTGCTAGCCACACCTGCGCCGCGTTTGCCTTCATGGGTGCTCGCTAACACCAATTGCCAATCCAGGTGGAGTCTCTGAGTAGATGTATTTGCGTGTGTGTCCGCTTGTGTGTGAATATCTGTGTGCATGAGTTACGTTTGCGTACATGTGTGTGTGGGGAGTGGTGGTGTAGCGGTCCGCGTGCTGCGCTACAAACCCGGTGATCCAAGTTCAATTCCCGCTCACAGCCAACACTGGTGACGATTATTTTAAGTGGTCCTGGGCCTCCCATAGGTCGACTCAGCCTCAAATGAATACCTTGTGCGATGTGTAAAAACATCGCCATGAGGGAGATAAAGGCGGGCGGCCGGGCGTGATGCTGGCCACCTCATGAACCATTCCAGCCTTCATAGGTGCTCACTAACAGCACTTGCCCCGACAGTCTGTGAAGGCTATGTGGGGTATCTTTGTCTTTGTGTGTGTGTAGGCAGCATGTCTTGCGAAAAAAAATAGATTTTTTTCTCGTCAGTTTGCACGTTCCCACGCTGCGATGTCCTGTGACTGCCGCCACTGCAGACAACCCTTCGATAGCTGCTTAGCCCAGTGGGCCTCACCAGTGGAATCTTGCAACAGACTGGTCATCTACATCGCAGACCCGCACAGCCCGCTAATAAAGACTCCCATGGCATCAGCTGCAGAGCAACCACCACCATGTCCCGACTCACCGCCACACGAACTCGATGAAGAACGTTCCCAGGAGTGAAAAGATGAAATCCATGACCACCAGGCGGTACAGGTCTTGGCCGAGCCGCGTCTCCCAGCACTGGGTGTGGAAGAGGGGAACACCGCAGATGAAGGGAAGCGTATTGGGTGCCGCTGTGGCGAGATGTTAACTCCCTCGACTGGTATACAGGAGTTCATCTTCTTGGTTCTTTCGGTAAAGTCACGTAGAAGGGAAATAATAAAATAATAAAAAGAAAACATTAAATATGTTTTATTAGAATGGAAATAATAAAATAACAAAAATAAAACATGATAAAAGATGTTTAATTTTTTTTATTTTATTATTTCCCTTCTACCTGACTTTACCGAAAGAACCAAGAAGATAAATCCCTGCAGTCACGAAAGCTTTAAATTGGTATACAGGAGGTTGTGGGTTCGATCCCGACCCTGATGCCTGCTGTATATTTGGAGTTTGCATGTCTCTCTCTATTCTTATGGTGGCGTGGATTTCTCTCCGGGTCCCCTGATTTTTTTCCTTCACACATTTAGAGACGTGTTTAGAGTATTTGACTGCTATAAAATGTCCACGTGATAAGCCACTTTTGTTGAGCTATCATTTAGTGGCCAGGCCACTTCTGAAAAAGAGCTGAATAGCTCGTGGGCTTTGCCTGGCAAAATAAAAAAAAAAGTGTTTTATTGGTCAGCGAGTCACCAGGCCGCTATACAGCCCATTATCCCTCCAGGGATAATCAAGTGATGCCACTTGCTGGTCCAGGAATGCCTACACTTAGTCTCCGGCTGGCGACTTGCGGTCCGATAAGTTATTCCTGTTCCCTGTTGCGCTCTGTCGGTCCCGTAACCCTAGGCTATATGCATTGCGAGGATACCTGGTGTGCGTGTGTGTGCGTGCGTGTGTGCGCGAGTACTGTATGTGTGGTGCAGCGGCGATGAATGAGCGCGTTGCATATGAGCCCAGCCACCGTGGTCCGACTCCTGGTCTCGCACAACACTCATGTTGATTTGTGTCTGAATCTGGACTGGGCCTCCCTTAGGTCGACTCAGCCTAAAATGATAATAATGTAATAACAATTTATCTTTTACGTCACCAGGAAAACCTAAATATAGATGATACCAGTCTAACGGTAGTATAAATAGTCTTCAAGGATTCTGAAGACATTCGGGGAGTAAACAATAAACAGTCTCATCTCAGACTGTGACCACACTGCAGGTGACAACACTCCTCCTTCTGCTGCTCCACTCGCAACGCTCCACTTCTGGAATTCCTTCCCGCACCGTCTATTTTCCCCAAACTCTTACGACAACTCTCATGATTTATTGAAACTTTTTTTGTGCTTTTTGTTGCTGGCCGCTTAATGTTTTGGGCACCAGGGCGTCGACTCAACAGCGTTGTAAATATACATACATCAATAACGCGGTTTATCCATTCAGGAACACTTTTTGCACAACGCCGAACGTGCACACCGTTGTAACGCGGTTTCTGAGCGGTCGACAACGAACTACTTTCTTGAGCTTCGTGGCTGAGCGGTACAGCAATACGGCACGCGGAGTGATACAGCAAAGCGGCATGTCACTCTGCGTGCGTACATCGTAGCTCGCCAAGCTTACATTGTTTAATGGGGAGATCGTTTTCGCAAAACGCTTTAACGCGGCCCTTTTTAGGAACACATCGACCGCGCTCAGTGGGGACTGACTGCATATACAAACATTTATTTATATATATAAATATCCCACGTATAGCCTTAACAGACTGTTGGGGCAAGTGCTGTTAGCGAGCACCTATGAAGGCCGGAACGGCACACGAGGGGGTGGGTGGCCAACACCACGCCCAGCCGCCTTTGTCTCCCTAGTGGCGATGTTTACACATCGCACCAGGTACTCATTTGAGGCTGAGTCGCCTTAGGGGAGGCCCTTTACCGGTTCAGATAATCGTCACTGGTGTTGGCCGTGAGCGGGAATCGAACCCGGGTCGCCAGGTTCATAGCGAAGCGTGCTAACCGCTACACGACCACTCCCCATACACACACACACGTGTGTGTATGGTCGCACGTACGGAGTTGTGCCACGTGTGCAGAGCGCCTACCTCGCTGTGTGGGACGGGCGAGCGCTGGAGCCAATCGTAGCACAGCACGGCCAGCAGAGACACCTTGAGCAGCAGGTTCCTGCAGTGAGCAACAGGGTTAGGTTTCACCGTGTTTCTTTGTTTTTCTAATTGCTTCGTTGCTGTACTTAATGTTCTTCTGCTTTTGTCAGTTTGGCGACGCGGGTCACTTGCCAAAACGGCTCTATCTTGGTCTCTTGATTTCTCGCCTGAGTTAAACAAAATCAACTTTAACTCCGTTGTTTCTGCCACATCCTCACTGGTTTCTGGCTAACCGTCGAACAAAGACGGTTACTGCATCGCGCGCACTTTCAGATGCGCTTCTGCGGCGGTCTGGACCGACATTCGGAAGCCACTGTGGCTATGCACTTTTAAATATCGGTTCAAAACTCATCTCTTTAGAACAGTTTTTTTTGTGTTTAGTTTATGATGCGTCCCACGCACCTCTGATTAGCATGGTTGGCCACGTACGGTGCGAAAAGAAGTTCAACATACATACGTGAAAAAAATTGGACGCTATCCGCTCACACCCGGTCTCGCGTGCGCGTGCGCGTTTACCACAGCGGTACCGCGTGCGCAGTTCCGTGCGTGCGCTCGCGCATTACCGTCCGACACTGGCGTAGACGCCGTGCCGCGGGCTGTGATAGCCCTCCAGGTGCGTGAGGGTCGTGAAGACGGGCGGCAGCAGCGTGTTCACCAGGCAGGCCACCGCCGGCACGAGAAGCAGCGACGCCTCGAGCCACAGCGCCTCGCCCCGCCGCTCCAGCTATGGCGGTCGATGAGACAGGACGGGGGGAGAGAGAGAAGAGAGAAGAGAGAGATAAATGGGAGAGAAAGAGGGGAGAGAGGGATGGGAGACTTGACTTTTAAACAACTTTTATTGCCGCCAGCAGCAAAAGCACTGAAGGCGATTTCAATTTGAAATACAGTCACCAACAAACAAATGAAAACAAACGCTACAAATCGACGCGCTGTGGCGCTGAAAGCACCGCGCACAATACAAAAGAAAAGTCACGTGGTGGTGGTGGTGTCATCGCGCACGCCACGGTGACGAGCGAGCGCTTCAGAAGGTGAACATGAGGGTGCCGTGCACGCTGGTGCAGAGAGAGAGCGGATGGGAGAGAGGGATAGGTGAGATGTATCCCGCGCTCCGTCAATGTGGAGATTGCTCCTTTGTAACTACACGTGCCATTTGAGCAGTTCTTATCGAGCAAGGCTTACGTTATTTATCATTATTATTACTATCCTTGTTTACCTGGGAATGCCTCACTCGTTTTCTTGAGGGTCCTGCCAAGTTTTCACAGGAGGGGGCGGGAGGGGCGATGATTGCTCAGTGTCATACAAATTGAGAAATTTGTAGGTAAACAATTCCCAAATTTGGACAGTGACACGAGTAGAGATGGCATATTCGTTTTAGAATAACATTGTGGGATACTAACCGTCCAATGTAAAGCAGATGGCGCGAATCTTCAGTTAATATACCCACATTATTAACAGCCTTCATCACAAGCACCACCAACACCGTCTACACCACTATGATCACAAACAGCACCATCACCAACAAAACTGACACCTTTTTTTACAAGGAGTCATGTTTGCATTGACCACAATACCTGCGGTCGGAATGCAAACAAAAAAGGTGTCAGTTTTGTTGCCAAATAAAAGGGTAACAAATGAATTATCATATTTTGCTACTGGCAAAGGAGGTTCCAATGGAGCACCATCACCTTCATAAAACTACGATCACCTCTGACAAAAACACCATCAATCTGCCACCACTGTGACCATCACCACCAAGTCCACTCTCTCTGTTGTCACTCTCATTACCACCACCACAAGCACTGCCCTCAACACCACAGCGATCTTCATCGCCACCAATGTGCCACCACTATGACCAACAAAGAAAAGACAAAGATCCCCCATGTGGCCTTAACATGCAAGTGGGGCAAGTGCGGCGAGCGAGCACCTATTAATGCCGGCACAGCACGAGAGGGTGGGTGGCCGACACCAAGCGTGACCACCTTTGTATCCCTTGTGGTCATGTTTACACATCGCACCAGGTACTCATTTGAGGCTGAGTCAACCTCGTAGAGAGCCAGGACCTGTTCAGATAATCGTCACCGGTGTTGGCTGCGATCGGGAATCTAACTCGGACAACGACCAACAAAGACAAAGACCCCCCGTATAGCCTTAACATACTGTAGGGGCAAGTGCTGTTAGGGAACACTTATGAAAGCTGGAACGGTATACGAGGCGGTGGGTGGCCAGTACCACGCCCGACCGCCTTTGTCTCTCCAGTGGCGATGTTTACACACTGCACCAAGTACTAATTTGAGGCTGAGTCGTCCTCGGGGAGGCCCAGGACCGGTTCAGATAGTCGTCACTGGTGTTGGCCGTGAGCGGGAATCTAACCCGAGTTGCCAGGTTCGTAGCGCGGCGCGCTAACCGCTACACCACCGCTCCCCAACACAACCACTACCACGCGCACTCCATCAGCCCCCACCACCACCGTCACATCCACCACCGCTACCGCGCCGGTCTGGCACTCCAGTCGACCGTCTGACAACCGTGGCCCTGCTCGGCCCCTGCACGGCGCCCTGGCACGGCATCCCGGCACGGCTCGGTTGTGCGGTAGAAATGCGGCGTCGGGGTCTCACCGCGTCGGCGCTCTGGCAGAGGAAATGCAACCCGGCCGCCGAGCCGGCTGCGAGCGCCATGGAGAGGAGCCAGGTGGGCGCTCGGGCCAGCAGCCGGCGGCTCCAGCGTGCCCGCGGGCTGCCCAGATTACGGCGAGCCCCCTCGGCAAGCACCTCCTGGAGGGGCAGGGGGAGGGTGGGGAGGAGGGAGCGAACAAGGGGCAGGCAACGCAACGCAACGCGGCTTGCATTCGTGAAATATCTTGTGCGCCCGCCTGTTTCTGGCCTGGCAGAGGGGCGGTGGTGACGGCACCGTCACTTCGTGGCGATTGGCGGGTATTGGTATTGGTTTCCGTGGTTGGCAAGCTGGGCGACGAGTCTGTCGACCCGATTTCGATTTCTGCTCATGGCCAACACCAGTTATCAGAACCGGTTCTGGGCTTCCACACGGTCGACTCAGCCTAAAATGCATACCTGGTGTGGTGTGTAAACATCACCACAGTGGAGACAAAGACAGCCGGGTGTAGTGTTGTCCACCCAGCCTGCCACGTGCCATGTTGGCTTTCATAGGTGCTCGCTAACAGCGCCCTAACAATCCATTAAAAGCGATATGGGGAATCTTTTTCTTTGTTTCTGTATGGAGTGATGGCAGAGTGCTGTATAAATCCTGGCGACACATTAAGGAAGCTCTGATCATGCTGAGTTGACCTCTGATCACCTTGAGTTGACCTCTGACCACCTTGAGTTGACCTCTGATCACCGTGAGTTGACCTCTGACCACCTTGATTTGACCTCTAACCACCTTGAATTGGCCTCTGACCACCTTGAAGTGACCTCTGACCACCTTGAGTTGACCTCTGGCAGCCTTGAGTTGACCTCTGGTCACCATGAGTCGAGCTCTGCTCACCTTGAGGAAGGTGCCGATGTTGCGGCGGGTCACGTGCACGGCCCTGCTGCTCGTCAGCGCGAAGTCCCAGCCGGTGAACACCTTGCGCGAGTAGAAGCCGATCTCACCGCCGCGCAGGTAGTTCTCACTGAACGACCGGCCCAGCCTGGGGGTCACACGGACGCACGCTGGCGCGGTGACCCCAGGCGCCGGTGGGACCACACCCACAACAAGACTTCAGGTTTCCCTCGGATTTACGGGTGCCCCTTTTTCGTGCCACTATCAAGACGATGAACAAAAATTACAGGTTTTACCCTTTTTCCAGCAAAGGATATAGGATGTAGGAGGTGTAAAGTTATTCAAACGCCAAATAGATCTGTATTGTATTCACCAGGTAATGCCCACTGAGCTAGGAGTACTTTTTGTAAGTGACCTGGCCACACATGATGATAGCGCATCATCAACGTGGCTGATATTATCATCGCACGTCCCAATTTATTGCAAAACCAGAGGAGGACCCGGGGTAAAATCAACGAGGCCACCACGGGGAGATAGAACACGCGAACTCCAGATATACAACAGGCATCATCGGGAGTGGGGATCAAACCCACGACCTCCTGCATACTAGGCGAGGGAGATAACATCTCGAACTCAGACCGCTGGGTGTGTAGCGTAGTTCGCTAACCACTACGCCGCCGCTCCCCACTCGCATGACTTCCAAAAAGATGAAGACCCCCCGAATAGCCTCAACATTCTGTTGGGGAAAACTCTATTAGCGAGTTCATTCTAGATTTGAAGTTTTTGTGACTGCAAGGATCCATGCTCTTTGGTTCTTTCGGTAAAGTAACGTAGGTAAAAAATTTAAATAAATTAAATCACGACGTTTCGGACGCAACACAAGCGTCCATCATCAGGTGCGACAACCACAGCAAAAACAGTTGCTGAAGTAGGCAGTAGTTGCCTAAATTTAGATTTAAAGCTTTCGTGACTGCAGGGATTCATATTCTTAGTTCTTTCGGTAAAGTCACGTAGAAGGGAAATAATAAAATAATATAAACATAAAACAATAAAAATTGTCACGACGTTTCGACTGCAACACAAGCAATCATCATCAGGTGTGAAATCCACAGCAAGAAACATTTTCTTGCTGTGGAATGTTTCTTGCTGTGGATTTCACACCTGATGACGATTGCTTGTGCTGCAGTCGAAACGTCGTGACAATTTTTATTGTATTATATTCATACTAGCAGAAGTACCCGGCGTTGCCCGGGTGAAAAATATATTTCTTAATAACCTTACATATATACACAGATGGGCTGCTACCCCTGCCCCCCCCCCAGCCACGATCTCTTCGGCCGCTGTGCAGTAATATGTACGGCCTATAGTGTGGTGGGGTGTCGAGGCCTAGTACCGTGCAGAGCCTCCGGCCTCGCCTAAATTGCCCACCCGGCTGAGGCTGGGTACCGGGGCCATTACCCTCCCCCCCCGTGCTACAATAATACTGTCTAATCGCTATAATTCTATTATCTACCGACCCTATAATAGTAATTGCACACATTGGGGTGGGGGGGGGGGGGGGAGTGAAGAGGACGTGAAACTTTGATGAATTTACCTCAGTCGCGTGTTAATGCGTGCGCATATTTTTAACGGGAATTAAAAATGGCGTCCACCCCGCAGCGAATGCGTCGCTACCCGTTGCCAGGGGCAACCGCCGTGAAAAACCAAACGGACCAATCGTGTCTCGCAAATCCCTCACATTTCGTCCAATGAAACTGCGTATGGTCTGGCGACACACAGACAGACAGACACACAGACAGACAGACAGATTTGCGATTTTATATATATAGATTATTTTATTATTTCCCTTCTACGTGACTTTACCGAAAGAACCAATAATATAGTAGTTGCCTACTTCGGCAACTGTTTTTTGCCAGCTATTAGCGAGCACCTACAAAGGCCGGAACGGCACACAAAGTGGAGTGTTGTGACCAACAGCACGGCAGGCACGACTGCCGCACACTCACGCAGGCACACACTCACGCATGTGCATGGCTCCCGTGCAACATCCTCACCAGAACAGCAGCACGAACACGCACGTGAGCAGGTACGCCGCCATCGTGAAGAGGTACGCGAGCTGCATGTTGTAGGAGGGGTCCTCCGTCCGCGACGCCGGGGACCCCTGGGGCCCCGTCGCGTTGGCTGCCGGGGCCTCCTCGCCGCCGCTCGTCCACCAGCTCAACGTCTCGTTGGAGTAGAATCCGTAGTAGAAGGAGCTGTGGGTGAAAGCGCCCTGCCCCCCACCCCCCACCAAACAAGAGCCCCGCAAAATAATCACACGGGGAAACCAAAGCATCATCACCATTGTCATCATCCTTCCACCGCACCTCCAATGAGCACGGTTGGTCTACGTACGGTGCGAAAGAAGTCCAACATACGTGTAGACTGTTGTAATATTTCTTGGTATAATGGTTGCTGTTGTACTGGTTGTTGTTATAATGCTTGCTGTTGTACTGGTTGTTGTAATGATTGCTGTTGTACTGGTTGTGGTTATAATGATTGCTGTTGTACTGGTTGTGGTTATAATGGTTGCTGTTGTACTGGTTGTTGTTGTAATGATTGCTGTTGTACTGGTTGTTGTTGTAATGATTGCTGTTGTACTGGTTGTTGTTATGATTGCTGTTGTACTGGTTGTTGTAATGATTGCTGTTGTACTGGTTGTTGTAATGATCGCTGTTGTACTGGTTGTTGTTGTAATGATTGCTGTTGTACTGGTTGTTGTTATGATTGCTGTTGTACTGGTTGTTGTTGTTATAATGATTGCTGTTGTACTGGTTGTTGTTGTAATGATTGCTGTTGTACTGGTTGTTGTTGTTATAATGATTGCTGTTGTACTGGTTGTTGTTGTAATGATTGCTGTTGTACTGGTTGTTGTTGTAATGATTTCTGTTGTACTAGTTCTTGTTATAATGGTTACTGTTGTACTGGTTATTCGTGTTATAATGATTGATGTTGTACTGGTTATTGCTATAATGGTTACTGTTGTACTGGTTATTCGTGTTATAATGATTGATGTTGTCCTGGTTGTTATAATGATTGCTGTTGTACTGATCAGGGCACCTGACCACCTTAATTAAAGTAAGACATCCTCTTGGGCTTTCACTATGCAAGTTCCACTGTGCAAGACCTGAAACTCTATTAAACTATTTAAAATGTTACCAGATAATGTCCACTTGAAGTTATACAGTCGTCCCTCGGTTGAGGTTTTCAATCCGTCCCATGAAAACTACTGTGAACCGAAATAACTGTTAATCGAATATAGGAATTTCATGGGCCTGCAAGAGAGCCGTTTCCGCTGCCAAAACAGAAAACGTAATGTAAACCAAGTCAGTCGAAGTCTAAATGCTCATAAATGAGCGTCACCGATTGGGCGAGGCATGCTCAGCCCCACTTACAAGCACTCTGATTGGCCAAAATTGGCGCCCACATGCATAACGTAAACATGGCCGCTATCCAAATGTTTACGTTAGTCGAAACCATGGGGTCCTTTAGGAGGTGAAACGTTAACCGAAAAAATGTTAACCCATGTCACTGTTCAGCAAGGGACTACTGTAAAGCTCTTTTTCAGAAGCGACCTGGCCATAATTGATAGCTCAACGAAGTGTCTTAATAGTGGGAATGTATAGCAGCCATATACCCCAAAGGCAATCTTTCTAAATGCAGAGGGAAACCCTTCATAAAAACACGGAGGATTTCCCAGAGAACAGACAACAAAAAACCTCACACTCCTCAATGACCTCTTTCAATCTGATCGTCATGGACTCACTGCAGCCCACCACCACGTGAATTATAATAATAGTAATATTCAACTTGTAAACGCTGCATCTCCGCTGCCACACAGTATCCCGTCACTCTCTTAGAGAGAGAGAGAGAAAATGGTTCAAAGAAGGAATTACGGATGAGCGGGGGAGGGTATCTCGCGATGAGTCCGCATTGCCAACAACTTCCCAAGCTCTGCGGTCCGCTACATATTAAGGTGTAGAAAACTGGAGCACCTGGAGAAAATCCACCCGTGCGAGGGGGAAATACTCTATCCCATACAGATGGAACAGATGGAACCCACATTGTTGCTGGATACCGCCTTCTCCTCGCAATACAGGGTGTGGCTCCTCTTCAATGCCCACGGAAAGGGAGTTTCATAACATTTGTGTGCAAACCGCAAACCCTCACTGCCTCCACTGTGCCAAATTACAGGCGTGCGCTGCCACTGCCCCGAGTGTGCCACCAATATCACACCACCACCAATAACACACCACCACCAAAATCACACCACCACCAATAACACACCACCACCAATAACACACCACCACCAATAACACACCACCACCAATAACACACCATCACCAATAACACACCACCACCAATATCACACCACCACCAATATCACACCACCACCAATAACACACCACCACCAATATCACGCCACCACCAATAACACGCCACCACCAATATCACACCACCACCAATATCACACCACCACCAATATCACGCCACCACCAATAACACGCCACCACCAATATCACACCACCACCAATAACACACCAACACCAATATCACGCCACCACCAATAACACACCACCACCAATAACACACCACCACCAATATCACGCCACCACCAATAACACACCACCACCAATAACACGCCACCACCAATAACACGCCACCACCAATAACACGCCACCACCAATAACACGCCACCACCAATATCACGCCACCACCAATAACACACCACCACCAATAACACACCACCACCAATATCACACCACCACCAATATCACACCACCACCAATAACACACCACCACCAATAACACACCACCACCAATATCACACCACCACCAATAACACACCACCACCAATATCACACTACCACCAATATCACACCACCACCAATAACACGCCACCACCAATAACACGCCACCACCAATAACACGCCACCACCAATAACACGCCACCACCAATAACACACCACCACCAATAACACACCACCACCAATAACACACCACCACCAATAACACACCACCACCAATAACACACCACCACCAATAACACACCACCACCAATAACAAACCACCACCAATAACACACCACCATCAATAACACGCCACCGCCAATAACACACCACCACCAATAACACACCACCACCAATAACACACCACCATCAATAACACACCACCACCAATAACACACCACCATCAATAACACGCCACCGCCAATAACACACAACCACCAATAACACACCACCACCAATATCACACCACCACCAATATCACACCACCACCAATATCACACCACCACCAATATTACACCACCAATAACACACCACCACCAATAACACACCACCACCAATATCACGCCACCACCAATAACACACCACCACCAATAACACGCCACCACCAATAACACGCCACCACCAATAACACACCACCACCAATATCACACCACCACCAATAACACGCCACCACCAATAACACACCACCACCAATAACACACCACCACCAATATCACACCACCACCAATATCACACCACCACCAATAACACGCCACCACCAATAACACACCACCACCAATATCACGCCACCATCAATAACACACCACCACCAATAACACACCACCACCAATAACACACCACCACCAATAACACGCCACCACCAATAACACACCACCACCAATAACACACCACCACCAATAACACACCACCACCAATAACACACCACCATCAATAACACACCACCACCAATAACACACCACCATCAATAACACGCCACCGCCAATAACACACCACCACCAATAACACACCACCACCAATATCACACCACCACCAATATCACACCACCACCAATATCACACCACCACCAATATCACACTACCACCAATATCACACCACCACCAATAACACGCCACCACCAATAACACGCCACCACCAATAACACACCACCACCAATAACACACCACCACCAATAACACACCACCACCAATATCACACCACCACCAATAACACACCACCACCAATATCACACCACCACCAATATCACACCACCACCATCGTCATCGCATCTCACCGTGCCCGTGAGCAGCTCCAGGCCGGTGAAGGCGACCGGACCAGTCCCATTCCCGCGAGCGGCGTTCTCGCGGGAAACGTTTCCACGGGTCCCGTTGCCACGGGCACTTGTCCCAGCTCCCTCCTCGTCCGACTGCCCGCCAGCGTCGCCGTGCGCCCGCACGAGGAGCTGCGGCGTGACGAGGAAGGCGGCGAAGAGCACGGTGGCGAGGAGGTTGAAGGCGAGCAGCGTGCGGATGAGCGTGAAGTAGGAGCTCACCCCCGTGCCAAAGCGGCCGCTCACCTCGCGCAGGCTCGTGTGCCACGGGGCGAGGGGCCTCGTCACCAGTGACACGCAGTCCTGGGCAGACTGCACCAGCTGCCACAGAGAAGGGCAGCGAGGGGAGGGCAGCGAAGGGCGCAGCGAAGAGGAGAGACAAGGCGTGAGGCAGCAATGGGCAGCGGCAAGAAGGCAGCAAGAGGGTAGCCAGCGGGCAAGGGTGCAGAACATGGGCAGCAGGGGGTAGGGGAGTTTGTGAGTTTCATGACCGTATTCCCTGGATTAGTATTAGATGCTCGGGTAAGTTAAACGCACTCCAAACTTGTGGCCAGTGCGACAACAAAGGGTGAAGAGTGCGCAAATAACCACGGCGAGGCGCACGCTCGAAACTACGTCGAAGAGGAACGCACGGATGAAGATAGAGAACACGAGTTAGCGAGGTCATACTGACCGTCACGAAAAGCAAGTGGTCTTTGGACCATACGTGTCGTGGCTAGACAGAGACCGATGCCTCTCCGCTGGCCGAGACGAACGACGGAGCGACAGTCAAAGTCGGGGAACGGGGGGGCGGCACGCCGAAGGAGCGGACGCCCATTGTGTCTGGTGTTGTAACCTTCTGACCCCGTGCCCCTTATTGTACAATCTGTGAAAAAACTCCTCCAGTCTATTCAAAGATTCTGATTCCAATTCTGTCCTGCTCCACGCCACCTGCCCCTCTCCACCCCCCACCCCACCCCTCCCGTGTTGGACAGCGCTTGGCGGATTGGCGATGGCGCACCGATTGGACGAGGGTCCCCGTCCGCTCCTGCAGGGCTTCCAGTTTGGTGTCAGGGCGGCCCCTCCAAATCGCCGTCTCGGTGATGGCCTGCAGGCGGTACCGGCGCCGCGTCGCCAGCGCCAGCGTCAAGCTGCGCACCGCGTGCAGGCGCTCCGACGGCGCCAGGAACGCCAGCTGCTTCACCACGCCCGCGTCCACTGGCGCAGGCGGGCAGGCAGGGAGGGAGTAGGAGGAAGGGAACGCAGGAAGATGGGATGGGTGCACGAGGCTTACTCGGGGAAGACGTGAGGGGTAAATGGGGGTTACGGGGGACACGGGGAACGTGGGGTCACGGGGCCGTGTGGAGACACGGGCACACGAGGGAGCGTGGGTCACGTGGAGGAACGGGACCACGTGGGAACACCCAGTGGAGTGTGGGAACATGAGAGGTATGGGTCACATGAGCATAAGGAGACACACGGGGGGAATGGCAGCACGCATCAGTGCCCCATTGTTCAACGTTTTCAGGATAATAGTGGAATACGACTCATTGGCAATGACTCTCATTGCCCAGACAACGTGAACAATGAACTGCGAACCCACAAGCCGCCGCTCCCTCTGCTCCGCTCACCGGGCGAGCCGATCATTTGGCAAGCTGCTCACCTAGCAACCTGCTCAGTTGGCTGCTCACCCGGCGACCCGTTCACCCGGCGACCCGTTCACCCGGCGACCCGTTCACCCGGCGACCCGCTCACCCGGCGACCCGCTCACCCGGCAACCCGTGCACCCGGCGACCCGTTCACCCGGCGACCCGTTCACCCGGCGACCCGTTCACCCAGTGAGCCGCTCACCCACGACCCGTTCACCTGGCGACCCGTTCACCCAGTGAGCCGCTCACCCACGACCCGCTCACCTGGTGAGCCGCTCACCCGGCGACCCGTTCGCCTGGCGACCCACCCACGACCCGTTCATCCGGCGACCTGTTCACCCAGTGAGCCGCCCACCCACGACCCGCTCACCTGGTGAGGCGCTCACCCGGCGACCCATTCACCCGGCGAGCTGCTCACCTGCGCTCGGATCGTCGTCTTCCTCGTCAATGGTTCCGTCGACAGAGATTCCAGGGGTGGTGGCCATGCGCAGGAGGGCGCTGCTCGGCTGTGGGAAGCGGAAGATGCGGGCCGAGAGTGGCCCACAGAAGCGTGGGGCCAGGCAGTGAGCCTGCCTGCGCCCTGCGCAGACGGGAAGTCAACAAGAATAACCATTATACAACAACCAGTATAACAGCAACCATTATAACAACCAGTACAAAAGCAACCATTAAAACAACAGCAACAACAACCAGTAACAGCAACTATTAAACAACAACAACCATTATAACAAGACTACAACCAGTACAACAGTATGTATGTTGAACTTCTTTCGCAGAGTAAGTAGCCAACCGTGCTCATCGGAGGAGCGGAGGGAAGGACAAACTAAACACAAAAAGCAGTTCTAAAGAAGTGAATTTTCAGCAACCAAAATAACAACAACAGCCAGAGGAGGGAAATGCGCCCGAGAGGATGCTTGCCGCGGAGATGGCGAATTGAATTCGGCTCGTGTGCCGGAACTCGATGGATCGTTGTATCTTGAGAGTGAAAGACGGCACACAGCCCGCTTGGGGAGGCCTTCATCCAGCAGTGGATAAGTGAAGGCTGCTATATTATGGCCTTGATGTAATGATGATGCGGTGTTTAAGAATAAGAATGAAACGCATCCGGGAGTATGTCCACTGAGAAAACGGAGCTGTGGCATAACCTCGCGGGCAGGTGGATCGTTACGTCGCTGCGACGCGAGAGGTGGCGGCAGCTTAGGGGGGAGGATTTCATCCAGCAGCGGCCTGACCATGGCAGATGATGAGGATGATGATGAATCAGTGGCGTAGCTCGGATATTTTGCACCCAGGGACGAACTATAAAATTGGCGCCTGACATGTAGGCTGTGTGTGGCGGGATATATAAACTTTTAGGTTGAGGTGTAGATTTGTGCAGTAGTTTCAGGCTGCCGCGCCCGCCGCAATAAGTTATAATGTCACGTTGTAAGCCTCATTTAGGCGCCCCTTTACCTTGGCGCCCGGGGACATATGTACCCCCCTGCCCCCCCCCCCCCCCCCCCTAGCTACGCCTCTGTGATGATTCGATTACTTAAACCAAGGGGCAAAGTGCAGCCCCTCGTGATGGCCTGGCCCCAAGTGTATCCAGGGTGGTGCGTGGCGTCAGTGCACGAGCACGATTTAAAGCTTTGCTAAGCCCACTGCGGTGAAGGAGGGTCGCCCGTGTGGCCCAATGACTCTCGTCAGAGAGAGCCCAGCAGGGGAACGTGCAACGATGGGAGGCCACACACCCACGGTGCGGCTGGGCAGCTCGTGGAGGATGCTGTACGGCAGAAAGGCATCTTCCAGCGGCCCGACCTCGGGCAGAGGGAGCAGCGAGGGCGCCCACGTTCCGAACTCCGCCTGCTGGGTCAGGAGGCTCTGCTGCAGGAGCTGCTGCTGCTGTTGCTGCTGATGCAGGTTCAGCAGGACGTTGGGGCGAGCCGAGTGCGATAGAATCCCCGGGGAGCCGCGCGCTTGCAGGCGCAGCAGTCGGGACCGGAATGTGTCGGCCAAACGGGCCTCCCTCTCCAGCGGGGTCTCCCTGTTGAGGGTGCTGGGGGTGTATGCGGGATGAAGGGGGCCAACGGGGCGAGGGTCGGGGGAGAGTTATGGTGCCCGGGTGAGCGACGGAACTCTAACAAATGTGAGAGGTGTCCCAGACAAAGACTTGATAACCCACATCAGTGTACGTTGATCTCCGTGCATTCATTAATGTGCGGTCAACCATTCATTCACGCATCGATTCGTGCATTCATTTATCAATTCGTGCATAGCGGGTTTAGGGATGGGTTGGATGGTCATCCTATGTCCTGCGAGTGCAAACAGTGCCGGATTAAGCTAGTATGGAGCCTGTAGCATATGTAATCAAGGAGCCCTAAATAAAAAAAAACACGTAAATATTAAAAGACATTTTTTTTACTTGCATAGTAAAATGTATTTTTTCATTTGCTATACAGCGAGATAATACCACAAATCGTTAACCTCAAACACCCAGTCGTTCATAAAAGGTGAAGGCGGTATAGTACTATAGTAACAGAGCAAGTGCAGAGCCACTGAACCGGAATTGATAGCTTGAAAGCATTTAGCGCGGGGCCCTTGAAAGTGCGGGGCCCGTAGCATTTGCAGCTACTTGTGCTACGAGGATAATCCAGCACCGAGTGCAAACCACGGTTGGAGCGTTCACGTGAAAGGGTGAGTGGGCTACACGAGCAACAACAACAACAGCATGAGCAGCAGCAACAGCTGCTGCTGACATTCGCCACTGGTGACGTCACCACGGCCAGGTGCACTCTACTCGCAAAGACAAAGATCTCCCATATAGCCTCAGCAGACTGTTGGGGAAAGTGTTGTGAACGTCGAGCACTTATGAAGGCCAGCACGGCACATGTAGGGGGATGGGAGGCCAGCACCACGCCCGGCCGCCTTTGTCTCCCTCGTGACGATGTTTACACGCCGCACCAGACACTCGTTTTAAGGCTGAGTCGACCTAGGGGAGGCTCAGAACCTGGTTCAGATAATCATGGCCGGGTTTCGTAGCGATGCGCAGCGCTAACCGTTGCACCACCGCTCCCACCACTCTACCAGCAAGCAAAGCAAAAGCTCCCCCGTATAGCCCTAACAGGCTGTTGGGGCCAAGTGCTGTTAGCGAGTAGCAGGCACCTGTGAAGGCCGGACAAGGAACTACACGTGGGGGGTGGCGTGGCCAGCACCACGCGCGTTTTACTTTGTTGCGAAGCCGGTTTTATGTCTTGGTTTGTGCAACAACTGCGGCGTAGACCGCGTGTCTAAATCCGGAAGCTACCGGTAATGGCATCCGAGGGCACGCGCTTTGTGCAGAGCGCGTGCAGAGAGGAATGAGCAACACAACACGTGCATGCGAGCTCGGCGAGTCGATGCAAAGAGCACACGCGATGTGATGTCAACGCGGCTCGTGGGCAACGCGCAAAAACCGTGGGAGGATGCGGCTACCCCGATGCACAAATGTAAAATAAAATCTTGATTTGAAGCTTTCGTGACTGCAGGAATTCCATACTTTTTGGTTCTCTCGGTAAAGTCACGTAGGTAGAAAATAAGATAAATCACGACGTTTCGGGCGCTTGTGTTGCACCCGCAACACACGAAGGTCTACTACACATCAGGTGCGATGCGATGCACCGCAAAGACAATGCACCATCTCATTCAGACGCAGTCGCCCGTTCTCATTCAGACACTGTCTTTCCGACAGACCTGTTCTTCACCTGAGGCTTGCTTGCGTTGTGGCCGAAACGTCGTGAGAATTATTTATTGTTTTATTTTTATTATTTTATTATTTCCCTTCTACGTGACTTTACCGAAAGAACCAAGAAAGTCTTAAATCGAAATCTTGAACTTTAACAAATACAAGGTAAATATGCAGCCCTGAAATTACTTCTATGAAGAGTCGATATGCTATTTGGCCTACTCTTCCACGCTGGCCTGATGTCTTGGAAGAGGTGGGAGTACCCACACTTCACCCCATCACGCGCCCTGTCGTTCACATCGAACCGCGCCGACACCACGAGGCCCATCCTCTCTCGGTCTGCGAACTCACCGAAAGTCGAAAGTGAACACGGCAGGCTCGCGCCCAGCTGGTTCAGCCGCCGTCTTCATGGTGGTTGCTATACACCGCGTGTGCTTTGTAGGGATGTGTATAAAGACGCGTGTGTGTGTGTGTCGTACACTGCTACACGATGAAACGTCCAGACGTTCAAAGCCTCTTCAAGTGTTGGCACATCGCGTAATTACGCGCGCCCATAAATAACCTCCGATACGCCGACCCCAGCACCATCATCTGCTGTTGTCTTTTTCGTACGCGCGCGTGAACGCAGCCTTATTCCGTAACGTAGCCCCTACCCACCGGCTCTGTGTGTGCACGTAATCACTCCAACATTACGCAGCCGCCCGTCTATTATGTGCAAGTGTGCGTGCCTAGCAGGGTTGCAATGCATGCGGCCGCGCGCGTGCGTGCGCGTGTGTGAAGTATGTGGCGGAGGAAGTCTTCTTCGTTCGCTTTGTGCGCGAGAATGAGGAGATCGAATCGTGGCCCGGACACTGGAGGCGCTCGCCACTCAACTTGACAGACACGCCTCGTTTCTGAGAAAGCCGGAACGCACAGGTACACACAACCCCCACCGAGTACCCGAGCCGTACAACCTGTGCCGGGGGATGACGTGTTGCTCGCGAGCACCTATGAAGGGGCCGTTCCTAAATGACGTCACGCACCTGGGGGGTGGTGGGTCGGACATTTGTGACGGTGTGTGACGAGGAGGGGGGGGGGGGGTGAGAAATGTGACGTCACATAAAAATGCGCAACTTAAAAAAAGATATAGATAGCACGTTCTGCTTAATTAAATATACTTTTTTAATAAATGTTTTCTCCTACAACATCAGAGTGCAGCGCCACGTTAAATACGCACTACAATGACAATAGTTTAAAGCGATTTGAAGCATGATTTTTTTTTTTGGGGGGGGGGGCAGAGCTTTGTGACGTCATATTTGAGGGGGGGGGGGGTCTGACTTTCTGTGACGCCGTGTGACCGGGGGGAGGGGGTCAAAAATCGTCCAAAATCGCGTGACATCATTTATGGACGGCCCCCAACCTGTTCCGAAGATGACGTGTTGTTCGCGAGCACCTATTAAGTTCGGCACGGCTTGCCGCACGGGGTCAGAACCCACTTTTGTCGCTGCCACTACTGATGCTAACCAAGTACAGTACTCGTTTGAGGCTGAGTCGACCTGGAGGGTGCCCAGTACTGGCTCACACCTTGTGTTCGCCGTGGGCGGGAATCGAACTCGGCGGGCCGGTTTAAGTAGCGGCAGTGCAGCGCATTAGCCACCGATACCATAAACACGCCTATAACGTCCCAACACAACGCACACCAGGCAGATGCCCTTACCCTCAACACGCCTACAACGCCCCAACACAACGCACACCAGGGTCGAGGTATTCTCGCTATGCGCGTAGCCTCGGCCCGAGGGCAAGGGGCCGACAGCCACAATAAGATCGAGAAGTGCGATGCGCTTGGGCGCCGTCACGAAAGCAGTCATTGAAGAGCCGCACGCGCCTCTGGGAGCCTTCAGGGTTGCCGACCCGTGCCCCCCCCCAAGGGGTTCAAGAGACCCGACAGCGCAAGAGACTAAGAGGAGGGGGGGGGGGGGGGCAGCAAGTTGGACTTATACGAGCGCACGTCGCCAGCCGTGGTGGGGTTCATCTTCTTGGTTCTTTCGGTAAAGTCACGTAGAAGGGAAATAAAAAAAAAATACAAATAAAACATAATTAAATACAATTCTCACGACGTTTCGGCCACAACGCAAGCAGCCGTTGTGGTCGAAACGTCGTGAGAATCCTATTTTATTATGTTTTATTTGTATTATTGTATTATTTCCCTTCTACGTGACTTTACCGAAAGAACCAAGAAGATGAATCCCTGCAGTCACGAAAGCTTTAAATCGAAACGTGGTGGGGTTGTTGATGATTCGTTTGTAATTCGCAACGCGCGTGTCCTTTGCGTTGGTGTGGTTGGAGGTGGCCGGTCGTCCGGCCAGCCAGCCAGCAAAACGTTTTTAATATATAACACGTGACGAGTTGAGAACCACTTGCTCTACAACGGGAAACAAGAGGCAGCTGTAATTTGTTTTCTCGCAATCATGTCCTCGTAGCACGACAAGTAATCTGCTTTTTTACGAAATAAAGTGCAAGATATGCATTGTGAGTTTTTTTTTTTATAATAGCGTATTCTGCCTTAAATGAACCACGTCAGTCTGCTGTATTCGTTACTTCCTCTCTCCACCCTTACCCCACCCGTGCCCCCCGCGTACCCCCCCCGCGTACCCCCCCCGCATCCCCCTCCACCCTCCACCCGCGACCCCCTCCACCCGCCACACTTGGCGTTGTCACAGGATACAATGAATCCGCGACAGAATGAATGATTAATGATGTTAATGTTCTAGCCCCATATATGGAGTCATCGGGCGTAGCTTTGCCCATATTAAGAATACTGGAATGGGAAATGACGTACAGTATTTTGAACGATCAAATGCTCGATTGAACGGGAATTGACCGATGTTTTTTTAAGGATATAAAGCTTGATCCATGTTTGACTCATGCTCTAAAACATAGCTGTGATTTTCAGATTTTTTTTCTTCTAAATGTCATATGATTTCTGGATCTAACCCGACGACTTGTGGATCGCACGTGATTTATTGATGTCAAGAGACGATTTTCTGGATCTAAAATTCCCACATTAAGGCCGCCCCTTGACGCTGATTAACATTTATCAGCGCCCTTTGCACGCTGGGCATTGCATAGCCTGCAGCCAATCAGAACGTGTGCTGGGCGGCATGTGGCTAGCCAGGCAGCCAGCCAGCTAACCAGCAAGCAAAACTTTAAAAAAATGAAATGGTATCGTAGACGAGCACTGCACGCGTATATGAGATTATAAAAATTAACCCGTAAAAACAAAGTTTTTCACTTTAAATCCTTTATATGCGTGGCGGCTAGAGTCCTCTCGTCCTCTGGCTTGAGATGGCTGCCACCTATGGGTCAAATGATTGCCTGCCACCATTAAGCAATTGGTAATTAAATATAATTTATTTTTTACTAAAAAGTGTAAAATTTAGGAATTTTCACGAAAATAGATTGTCACGCACAACGAGTCTGTGTGCAAAATGTCGGCTCGATTGGATCACAGGAAGTGGGTTAAAAAACGACCGAAAGATTTGCACGGTCGTAAGCGCGCAAGCAAGCAAGCAAGTGAACTTAATATAAATGATTTAAAAAGAACGGCGGTAGGTGGGTGGGGACGGGAGAGACTACGTCAGCACGCACAAACCCAGATCGATGACGTGACCGCCCGCGCGTTATCCAGACAGCAAACACTTTTTTGACAGTACGGCAGCTGTACTGCATCGCATGTTTATTTATTATAGAGTGTGGTGACAGTGTCATAAGTCAACCTGTCGTTAGCTATCAGCCACGGTGAAAGTGTTTAGTCCCCTGGGCGATTCTGATAACTATTTCCAATTCAGGGGTTTGTGATTCGATAAAAAAATTTTTTTTATCAAAAACAAATGAGGGTCTAGATTGCACTGTTTTCATTCGTGATACCATGAACCGAAATTATTGGACGCGGAGCGATGGGTTCAGATCACTGGCCACAGCCAACATCAGTGCAACCTACAATGCCCATCGTTGTGAACTTATAGTCTAAGAATCCCTGTACCCATCAACCCACACACACAAATATCCCCCGTATAGCCTAACAGACTTCTGGGGCAAGTGCTGTTTAGCGAGCACCTATAAAAGGCCAGCACGGCACAACGAGGGGGTGGGTGGCCAGCAAACACGACCGGCCGCCTTTGTCTCCCCAGTGGCGACGCTTAAACACACACACACTAGCTCTCACACGCCCCATGTGTCACACACGTACGTGCTCGCGCACGATGTCTCTCTCACAAAACACAATGTATCTCTCTCTCTTACGCGCACAATGCCTCTCTCACACACATGCTCATTGCTCCAGGCCTCGTGGTGCTGGGCTCAGCCCGGCACCTGCCCGCACTCGCACTTCGCTGCATCGTGGTTCGCGTGAGAAGGCAGCCCGCGGCAAAAACAAAAAAACTGGAGGTTTCTGTCTGGATCCGAACTTATAACCCCGGAGATGAAATTACAAAATGCTGAACCTTAAACGGAGACATCCCGCTAAAGTAATATGGATAAATTGTGCAATGTTTCCCAATGTTTCCCAAGTAATTTTTTTTTTCTTGCTGTGGATTTCACAACTGATGATGATTGCTTGTGTTGCAGTCGAAACGTCGTGAGAATTTTTTTATTGTTTTATATTCATATTATGTTATTATTTCCCTTCTACGTGACTTTACCGAAAGAACCAAGAATATGTTTCCCAAGTTCTTACCGCTTTGATCCATTCAAGAAACGTCTAAGACGCATCTTCCACAGTGCTGTTTATTGCTGGCCGCTTGGCGTTTTGGGAGCTTTGGGTCGTGGATAAATAAATAAAAATCACGTTTCAAAACCACTACTGTACATGTCTTCCACTAATATCGATACGCGTATTAAATGTGAACAAATGTCCTCTGTACGATATGAAAGCCGTAACTTTCACAATATTTAGAAGTGCACACCACCGATGGCTTTCTAATGTCAGAAGAAAGAGAGTTCCAGACGGACGCAGAAGCGCATCTGAAAATATTGTGACCACCATTGAATTGCCCGAATTGCGTGTTCTGATATTTAACACGTAGGCTTTCGCGATCAATAAATTCCTAACACAGATGTTTTGGGTTAGATCGCGTCAATATATGTGTCGTTAAACCCGCCACACTCACCTGATGAAGCTGCTTGTAATTACTGGCGAAACGTGATACTCAGATTGTAAAATGTTGTGGCTTTGCTCTCCAACACACCGATGTTGCTGTACTAGTGACGAATTGGCCATGTTCTGTTTACGTGACAAACCTTACAGACTGGCTGTGTCGGGGGGTGGGTGGCGGGTTTAACGACACATTTATACAATTACGCGATCTAACCCAAAAGAAACCTGTATTATGAAAGACAGGATGCTCGGGTGAAGATGATGTGTCAGCAAAAAGGGTTGGTGATCGTGGTGGTGGTGGTGGTGATGCAACCGGCTCCTTGCATTCTAGATTTGAACCTTTCGTGACTGCAAGGATTCATATTCTTAGGTTTTTTCGGTAAATTCACGTAGGTAAAAAAATTAAGATTAATAAAAGTAAAATAAAAATAAAATAAAAATCACGACGTTTCGGAGGCAACACAAGCTTCCGTCTTCAGGTGGAACCGTCACAGCACGATAGCTGTATCAAGTGAGATAAATTCCAAGAAACAGTATTTGTATATATAAAGGTTGAGGGTGGGAGGATCCAAGGTAGACCCTGAATATTATTTTTGAGAGGTGAATACGGCTCCTTGCAGACGATGGACAAAGACGTCAACTCAGCGGTCAAGCCGAACGGCCTCCACTAGAGGGAGCGCTCGAGGCTATTTGGTCGATCGTCCACGTTTCGACAGACGTATTGGAAGATGCGGGCGCACTCACATTTTGCCCCACCACACGCAGCCCGCCGATCGACTGGCTGCGATGCACCAATT